CATGCACACGTGTCCCACATGCATCCCACCCCCTGCACATGCACGGCAGAGACCTGAAAACCAGCTGGCCATGCATGCATGGTGAAGCTGAGCTGGGGCGAAGGCTCATATCCCCGCAGGGAGGGCTCTGCATGCCAGCTGTGCCATAGATTCACCATCATGGTTCTAAACTCTTCTGAAGCAGTCTTAACCATATAAAGTTATATTGGCTTGATAGCTTATAATCCCTTTATATCCCTGCTATGATACATGCTGAGTAGCAGAATGACTGTCTGTATTGACAATTTGAGATGATACCTTTATTAAACCAACTCAATGTTTCAAAATTGCAAACTTTCGAATTTAAAGTTATTAAAATCCTTCATTCAGCAAATCAGTAGCCAAAAAATAGGGAGGCAGAAATGAATACATTCTATGGTTCAGTAGTTATACAGTTTCTAAATGATAAAAAAGAGAAATACCCAGGAATCCCTAAGCATCTTATATGCAGATAAAGTTTCAGAGATCTTTCCTCTATTTTAAAATAATATTTGATGCTAAAGTAATATGGGAATTAGCAGGTTCCTAACGGGAAAAAGTACTAAGGTTCCCAGGAGCTCACTTTGCATGCAAGCAGACCTATTGTGATGAACCCACTGGATACATTAGAGGGATAAGTCTCCAGATAGCTCTGATAACCTGCCCAACAATGTATGGAGTCTTATTGATCCCTTATATATTTCTTTTAAGTAAAACTATTACAACTACAATTTTCCACGTCCATCCGGAAAAATGAAGAGTCATTAAGGAGTTTTACCTCTGAACTAGAACAAGCACTATTCTACCTCTTTGCTTCCTTGCGTTCAGTAACAAGCAGCCATTAGGGAGTGTGAGCCTCCAAGTAAATATAAGATATATAAGATTATATAAAAATATAAGATCTCTCAAAAGTCAGAATGAAATTCAGTTCTTCAGGAATCTTTAATTCAAGATTCTATCACTGTTCCATTCACATTCCTATCTGGCATGTTGTCTATGGAGATTCTCAGTCATCCAGGTCATGGTTGTCCCAAAGGTGCTTTTTTGAAGAGGCAACTGGACTTTCTGGTTTTTCTTTGAAGACGTTTCACTTCTCATCCTAGAAGCTTCTTCAAGGAGCTCTGAGAGCTGAAGAAGCTTCTTGGATGGGAAGCAAAATGTCTTCAAAGAAAAACAAGGAAATCCAGTTGCCTCTTCAAAAAAGCACCTTTGGGACTATCTGACATGTTACAACTCAGGCTTAATGTTGGAATGTGATTCTAGAATTTCCATTGATCTCTCCTTTCCAACGTCCACTAGCTCCTCCTCATTTAGGTCAGAGAGTGGGTTATTTTTCAGGATTGAAATCATGACTCATTAAAACAGTCATTCAGATAAGTAGAGAAGCCCACAAAGAATAGGGATGTGATTCAAGGTATTAGAGTAAGTATTGATACTCAAAAAAGAAGGAACTAAATGATATAAATTATTTCTCCAGGTTAGGAGAAATAAAGTTTCAGCCTATGTATATTTATATATGGGCAAGCATCCAGTACTAAACACCTGTGTCTCAGTAGTATCCTTGCTTGCTCCTTCCAAGAACTGGAAAGGGCATTCAAGGGATGCCCTGCAAAGAGACTTTTGTTACATACAAATGGAATGACAACTGAAGTTCGTTTGTTAAATTTATTTATTAAGTTTATAAACCACCCATCATGCCTAGGAACAGTGAGATGGATGCTTTGCCCTATAGTCAACAATGACTAGTGGAATAAAAATTGCAAGGACTCCTTCCTTCCTTCCTTCCTTCCTTCCTTCCTTCCTTCCTTCCTTCCTTCCTTCCTTCCTTCCTCCCTCCCTCCCTCCCTCCCTCCCTCCCTCCCATCCACCCATTTCATCCAGAGGTGACTCTCCTCCAGAATAGTGTATTAGCAGAAAACTTTCATCTGACACATATTTAGAGTTGCTTAACTCCGTCAAGCACTTTCTGCTGAATCATTCATTGGGCTCCACTGACCACTCCTGTTGTCCTACCTCAATTAAAAGCTCTTAGAACTTAGTTAATCATACTATTCTCTTTCCATGTACAGAAGTCTTGGCATGTAATTAATTTAACAATTATATTAACCATATATTCTGATTGTCAGTTGCCACATTGAAAGCTACGCTCCAGATAATGAGTATTAAAAATGCTGTGAGCTAGATTATTCTAGTTAACTTTCCCACGACAATTTCATAAGGTTTCTATACAGCGGGACTATGAAGTTAAAACATGGAAAATGCAGCAAAATATTGCAGTATTATGTCTTCCTTTTCAGCCAGTCAGGGATCTTTCCTGGATATGCCTTTTTTCTTCTTCTTAACATTTATATTGGCTTTCATGATCAATCCTCACTGAATTGCTCTTCCCTCCCCCATTTTTCTCCTAAATCATTAATGTAAAATCTTTAAACTTGTGCAAGTACTTTTCCTCTATATGGATAATGCTTTTTTGGCTATGTAAGGATTAACATTTGGAATACTTGCTATTAAAAGATGTAACAATTACTTCAAACATTTTAGCTGCATTGGCAAAGCTAGATATTATTATATTCTTAATGCAGGCAGAATTAGTAACAATTATATTCTCAGTGCAGTAATTAATTACTGAAATACAAAAAAGCACTTGAAAGAGCTGCCTCCCTCCCTTGATGGGTAGAGGAAGGGCACATAACTTGGGAAATGAGCACTGCTACCCACAATAATTCTTATTTTTTTCACGATAGTAACAGCAAAGACCATACTAGAATAAGGAGGTGGAATTGCTGCAATTGCACTAATATAACTACCAAGTATATACCAGGGAACATGAGAAACAGTATCTGTTTAATTCCAGGAATGAGTTATACCTTGTCTGAATAACTTTCCCACAAAGCTAAGCACTTACAGTATTTTACTAATTATCTATGCCACTTCATATATCTTGTACAAAATTATCATCTTTCATAAGAGGTGGGACCTTTTAGCTAACAAAATACCTGTACTTTCTTATTTCAGATAATGCTTTACACCTATGAACATAAATATAAAAGCAGTAAGTGATAAGTTAGTGCTAAACCCCAAAGGAACACACAACCATGTTGTGCAGGCACTAGGTTCAAATCAGCCCTGTACCACCTCTATTTATACAGGTAGTCCTCAACTTACAACCACAATTGAGCCCAAAATTTCTCTTGTTAAGTGAGTTTCGTCCCATTTCACAACAGTTGTTAAGTGAATCATCACTGCAGCTGTTAACTGAAACTGGTTTCCCCATTGATTTTGTTTGTCAGGAAGTCGTAAAAGATGATCACAGGACCCTGGGACACAGCGACCATCATAAATACGAACCAGTTGCAAAGCATCTGAGTTTTGAACACATGACCATGGGGATGTTGCAAAAATTGTTACAATGAAAAATGGTCATGTCAGTTTTTTCAGTGCTGTTGTAATTTTGAATGGTCACTAAATGAACTGTTGTAATTTGGAGACTACCTGTATTACTTCCTAAAAAGTCACTTCCAAAGGCTGCATTCTAGAGCTGCGTTCACTGAAACGTAGAAGTCTATAGTAAGAAGAGAGAAATAATCTGGAAAGATCAAAGCAGCACAGACTCTTGAGAATGCCCTTCAAGCATACTGTCACTCTGGATTTGTCATTAACATTTATATGATCAACAGATATTAATTTCACGTTCTCCAATGTTGGTCCTGTAGAGATACTGCATATTCTGCTGGGAATGCCCTGTTTTCTTTATCTGACAATAGTTTCTTATGTTTCATCAGAAACAGCTGCCAAATGTCTCCTGAGCTTCAAAATAATGGGTCAGGTGGCACACAGACTTCACTCCTTTGCTTACTGAACTGATTAATAAAATAAATTAAAAAATCAATTTTCTGTAAGTGCCCATCTTGCCAAAGTCATGCATTTCTTTGGATAGATCTGTTTTGGAATAAACCATATTATTCCAAGAGTTATGAATTAATATAAAGTATGATTTAATGAAAAACACATCAAATTACTAATGATTTAAAAAATTCTTGCCTTTTAATTTGCATTAATAGTATTATTTTAAAAATTAAGAAGTTTCCTGTCTATTAAGAATGCGTGTGGTTGGGTTTTCAATCCCAGACTAACCAAAATTATGTTCAATAGCAATGTAACTTATACAATATAACACAACATTGAGCAGTAGCTATTTGACTACTGAAATACTACCTTTAGAGAGGAAATGGAATATCTGTAAAAGTACCACAATACATGATCTTATATCATAACAAGAGGGACAAATCACATTTGGCCTAATTATTACTTTGGGAAGAGATCAATAAAAACAAGACTCTAACACATAACATGAAATCACAATAGACTAAATTCTAAACAGTCTTCTAAAGTACTCTCATAGTAAGTTCACTCATATTTCTTTTCTGCTAGATATATGAGAACTCTGCAGGTCTTGATACAGCTAAGGTTAATTTAAACATACAACTGAAGCAATGACACAAGTGAATCATAACTTATTTAAGTGTCATTGTTTTAAATATGGTTTAGGTTTAATTTATGGTTTAAATATGACTAAGTTTAGCTACATGAAGATGCAGTTTGTGTGTGTGTGTGTGTGTGTGTGTGTATACACATGTACTAAAGATAAAGAATTTGGATCCATAACACATCAAGATCTCCTATACCTGTTACGTGAAAAATATTATTTAGTTTTTACCATGCCCTTTTCTCTAGTTCAAGTAAGTTGGTTAAAATGAAGAGGGGAAAAAAATAGGTTATATTCTTTTGTTTTATCTACAGTACTGATACTAAGCTTCACAACTAACTGACAGCAATTCCTGGCACCTAAAGCCAATGCAGCAATAATATTACAGAGGTATTACCAATCTGCTGAATAGACATTCTTAAAGTAAGACAATCCCTCAAGGGACAGGACTATTTTGAGCTACTGTACTGGATGTTCCTTTTTTAAAAATTCTTACCTTACTGTGTTTTTGCTGGTATCTTGTCCTAGTATCCAAAATATGGTAGGGACTTTCAGAGTCTTTGTTCAAATAATAAATAAGTCTTGAAGGCAATGTGATTTCTTTTTGGAATGCACTGCTGTAATTGTTATTTTTGCTACTACTATTGTTAGTCTGTTGAAATACAGTGTCCTCATTTGCCAGAATGGTTTCTGTTTTTTCCAAAGTTTCATTCCAATGGATAGCTGGGAAGACAGATAGGTCTACATTAAACCACAGAGGAACCGAACACTTTATATAGGCTGCTTTAAATTCTGTTAATTTTCCTTCAAGAGGATAATATGAGTCCAACATGCCTTATTAAAATATTTCCTAGTATGGTATTTAGGAAAGCAATACAAAGTATTGCAGTACTGCAGAAAGAATGACAGAAAATATTGGGTATTTAATACAATGTATTTTACATAATAATCTAAATGTTTTTAAAAAAAACATTTTTCAGAAGGGAAGCTCTTTTAATGAGATCCCAAACATCATGGCTCTTGTCAGTTTTCCTCAGAAATATTGATCAAAATCTGTGAATCAGCAAACTTCTCATAAATGGAATTCATGTGTCCACTGAAAATCAATCAATTCCCTTTACATAAGGACCACTTCTCACAAACTGTAAGAATACAAATTCTAAGTATAGTTATTATACAAAATTATCTCAAGAAATTCAGTTAGATTTCTTTCAAAATTAACATTTAAGTACTAGAGATCATGCAGAAGAAAATACATATTTCTTCATGCTTAAGAGTTCTATTCACAGGGAGTTCTTTTTTCCATTTGTATATTATGTATGAGCTCTCAACTGAATTCTAAATATCTTTCCCTAAACAGAAACCTCACTTACTCTGCTTCAGATACTTCTTAAATAAGAGCACAAAAAATGAGCATTCTGACAACCTGCCAAGAACGTTTTGCTGCATCAGCACCTTTTGAGATCACATCTTGCCCATCATCATCATATGCCCGAGTTTGCACCATATCTATATACACCAATAAAGAATCTTCAACATGAGAAGGAAAAGAAAGAAAGAAGAATTTGGTTGCAGTCACGATTAACAATTTGCTGCAGGTGATAAAACAAAATGCTATCCTCGGGATAAAAACCTGTCAATGAATCTGTGTGGAAGCAGGTGTATGCACATACTTATGGGGGGTGAAAGATCACGAAAGCTTCTCACCACAGGGAGGAAAAGACGGGGTGCTGTATGAGGTCTGTCACGAGCAGAAGAAACTAGCATGACAGGGAAAATTAGGGGCTCCAAAGGGACACCGGAAAGAAAAAATAACTAGATAACGGGCTTTGCTATTTATCTGCATTGGCATGTAACTCGTAAGGCAGCAAATAGCAGTTCGAAGGAGAAGAGGGCTGACTTCCCAAACACCATACACTGCGGAGGAAGAAGGGGAGATTCCAGCCCATTCCCCCCCCCACCGCACTCACCGGTGTCCGCAATGACCCCCCAGCTCTCTGGGCGTCCCCAGCAGAGGAGCAGGAACGCCAAAAGGAAACGGCGGAAGAAGGCGAGCAGAGGCAGCCGCGCCAGGCATGCTGAGAAGGGAGCGTTAGAGGATCGGCGGTGCCGGCAGCTGCCAGAGAAGGGCTGCCGCAGAGAACTTCTGCCAGGCGGCTTCATGGCTCATAGCTTTGCGGGAGGTGGAGGGGGGGGCAGGGCGGGCGGTGGTGAAGGGAGTCGCCTGCCTCGTCGGAATTGTGAGGAGCAGCGGTGGGGGGGGAGAGCGGCGGCACTGCCCCCTTCCCCCTGGAAGAAAGCGGCGGTCGAGCGGTCACGCAGCGACGGTCGCGGCACTTCTTTCTTCACATTGCTGGAGGCGAAGGGAAGACACGGCGCAGTGACTCCGCTTTTTGTTCCGCTGCTGCCGCTGCCTCCACCGCGACACCTTCCTACCGCCTCCGCTCCATTATCTGCGGGCGCCCCTCCTGGGAAGAGCAGAAGCAAACCTCGGCGCCGCCTTCTTCCTCCTGCTGCTGCTGCTGCTGCTGCTGCTGCTGCGGGCTGGGCTGACAGTCGCTCGCGCTCTTCTCGCCCTCTCTGCCATTCACCTTTCAATGCCCCGCGCACTGCACAGGATGACGTCGAGAGCCGGCCACACTCTTCCACCCCCGGCAGCTGCAGCCCCTACCGTCACGGGGTGGGGGGGGAGGGGGAGGGCAGAGTTAAAAGAGCGCGCATGCGGGTGGGGGGGAGCAGATGCTCCCTCCGGCTCTTGAGAGGAGCGGGACGGGGCGGAGCGGGGCGTGGCAGGGCGGGGGCGGCGTTAGACCTAAGAGGCGAGCGAGAATAGCGCGGAGGGAACGAGCAGGTGTCGTGATGCAGCATCTCGGGAAGGGGACGAGCGGCGCGGCCCTCGGACCTGCATGCGGCGTTCCGCCCGCTTCTTACCCGTGCAATTCTTGTCCCTACGTCCTCTCCCTTCCAGATTTGCTGCAGTGGCAAAGCCAAAAAGGCGGGGAGGGCTAGAAGGGAGCTGCGTAATTTTAACAGCTGAAATGCTGTCGAATCGTGGTTGCTTTCACCACCTCTCAGGACCATCAGTTACCAGATGTCGTTTTTCACTTGCATTGGTTCCTGCCTCTCCAGCCATGTACTTTCTCCTGAGTAGTTTCTGGCCAGTGTAATTACGAATAGACACCGCAAGCCTTGCTCTTAGTGTCGTTAGTGAACGAGAGGACTGGACTGTAGAGGTAGCTGCTTTTTTTAAAAAATTTTTTAGAGAATTATTATAGGAGGGAGAAATGATTACGGTGTAATCACCCTGGTTCACTCCTGGTATAAAAGTATTTATACGAGTTCCCTTGCTGAAACTGTGATCTACCTGACAACTTTATTGTTTCTCTTGTCATTCAGGCATTCTCGGAGACCCAATGAACATCATTTCAGGAGGATTGTCTGTCAGCAACTGCTTCTCTGTTTTTGCAAACTTGTGCTACCTTCTTCATTGAAAGGATATATCTAGTTACCTTGTTTTCTGACAGCCCTTTTGACTGTTTTGGATTTTTCCAAGTATCAGTTTTTTCTCCAATGATTTTGTAATTTACCTGTCACCTATTTAAGCTTTAACATCAGTGCTTCCAGTGGTTTTATTTCATCTAGTTTTGAATGGTTTGTTCTTTTTGCATCTAATAAATTTACCCTGCACAACTCAAAAGCATTTTTTCCTGATTTGGTTTTTGTTTTGTTTTGTTTTTTTGACAGTCCAGATTTCACAGCAACCACAGTCTTGGCAACAGAACCTGTTGGTCCATAAGACATTTCTTCACTTAAATGTTTTGTCTAGTTTCTTGTCTCCCAAACTATCTATTTCATGGCAATAGTCACCCTATCTATTCTTGTAGCCTAGGAAGTTTGTTACTCCTGCAATTTCTCCACCTATTTGCACTGGATTAGTATCACCAGCCAAAGTGGAGAGGAGGGATCAAAACAAGCATGACAGCAGCTGTAATCAGAGCTCTGGCCTTTTTGTGTGTTAACATTAAATGAAGTTAAAAAAAGAGGTAGGGCTTCAACCATCATCTTGCTGTATTGATCCTTTCTGCAGACACTGCTGGTTAGCATTGCCCAGCTAACATCTTCATATTTTTATTGAGCAGGAATTCAGCTTCTAAACTCACTTTAATCTTCAGCAAGAAACTCCTTAAGTTTTCTCACTACTACTTTAGATACCCTCAGGATTTTGGATCTTTTTCCTTACAATTTTAATTCCGGTTTCTATTTCTTACAGTATATTTTGCCAATAAATGTGACACAATACAATCTTCATGCTATCCTTTCCCAGTTTGAACCACAGTTGCTCTAAACGGTGTTCTAACCGCTGCTTTCTGCAATTCCTTCAACGGTCAATGAGATAAAGGATATCTACATTTTTGTATCCACAGATTAAAAATGTCTTTGCATAACAAAAATAAATGGCTTTTTTAACTGCCCTGCATTTTTCATTTATCCTTAGATGTTAGCAGTGAGTGTTTGGGTGAATCAGGCCTGGCACCAACCTGAGTTCTTTTTGCTTTAGGTATTTGCTTTTTGTTTTAACAAAAATTCTACTTATTTCAGTTCTGTTCAGTCCTGGCCTACATTTTATTAAAAATGTGTTTTCTAGTCCTCTTTAAGCTTTTTCCAATCTGCAGTTTGGAACCTCCATCATATCCAGGACCATTCTTTTAACCTTCCCTCTGTTTTGTTTTGTTAAGTTTTGCTTAACATCCGACTGACACTAGAAACTTGGTGAAGTTAAACTGTTCAATATTATTTTTGAAATACGGACTTCTGAATGTCATTTTAATATTTTTGATTCTCAAGATTTAACAAAAGTTATATGCAATAATAGAAGATGCATTATGGCTTACTTTGCCTGCTCTTGTAAGCAGATCTTAATGCATTATGATGAGGAAAATTACAATTGTCATTGTTGGGAAGAATTTCTATGGTAAAAATGAATTACCTAGAATGTTGTTCTTATTTCAGACAATACCTTTTAGAGAATTGATTCACTGTTTAAACAATGGCGAAAACATCCAATCTTGCCAACCTTAATGAAGGGATACAGGAAAAGGGCTTCTACATCTTTCAGTTGAATGGATTAGGCCAGATGAATCTCTTCCCATGAGAGAAGAGCATAGTCTCCTGGTGTTTCCCCACCAAAAATTGAGGCCAATGGTCCTTCCCTTACTCCTTTCTTGCAAAGTTTAACTTCCCTATAGCAATACCTATACATTTCATCTTTTCAGCACAAAAGGTGGGGGATGCCAAGGTTGTACATAGATTAAGGCTTAATCTTTGTCATTACTTATTCAGGGATTCCTAATGCAAATTGCCTCTTTCAGAGATGGCCATCCCCTGAAGACCATTACTTATGAATAAATTCTATTGATTGAGTAGGCAAAGTGTACCTGTATGCGGAAATGGATTGCTATCAGGTTAAACTACAATCAAAGATTCCAAAATATATGAATTTATGCTGATTAAGGAATAAGCCAGATGTTCATGATCTAAGATGAACCACTTCTGCTTATAAACAAACAATGGACTATGTTGGGCCCTGTTTACGAGCTATGCAGTGAATGATATAATTTAATTGAAAATTTCAAGACATTCAGTTGTATTGACAAAAGAATCGGAGGTTACATTTGTGGAATAAGATCCTTGTAAACTTATGTTTTGTTGATTTATTGTCCTGCATCAGCTGAAGAACTCACTTTTAATAGGTGATATAAACAGTTTCATGACAATAGAGAATGAAAAAAAAGTATATGCATTCTGTGCATATACTTTATTCAGAAATTTATACTCATGCTTAATATCCATATATTTTGTATGCTTATTCTTCCTATCCTCAGAACCATTCTTGCAGAAACTCCTCTGTATAGTAATAAGGATTGTAATTATGCTCATCTAACATAAACATCATTAGTGATAAAGCCACTTATTTCTCACTTTTTGAACCTGGTTGCTGGTAATTTTTTTTTCTATCCACAGGCTGCTGGTCAGTAAGCATTAAGAAATACCTACTCTGGTGACAAAGTGGGGATTTAAAGATCCACAGTATGTCTATTTGCCATGTCCTTATATACGGTAGCAATTTATTAATCTTGGCTATGAATATCGGTGCTGGGCAGAAAAATAAAATATATAACATTATCAACAATAATAACCTTAGAATAAAAGAAAAAACTCAGTCATCATTGTACTAACAATTTAAGGCATATTATCTGGAAATACAGTTGATAGTAGTTTAGTCCTACAGTTGAACAAGTATATTTGAGTGTGGGAGCAAGGCAGTGGTGGGATTCAAATAATTTAACAACCGGTTCTCTGCCCTAATGATTTCTTCCAAAAGCTAGTTCACCAAACTGCTCAGAAAGTTAACAACCGGTTCTCCCAAAGTGGTGCGAACTGACTGAATCCCACCACTGGAGCAAGGGATACTTCTCCATAGAGTTGCACAAATTCTCTTTAAAAGGGGAAGAACGTTGGTAGTTAAAAGTAAGCCAATCAACATACACTAGAAAAAAAGTTGAGGAACCTTTAAAAATAACAGTTTATCACATAGTTGAGGAGGATATCAAAATTTAATGTTTGTGCCACATTTATATACATATTATGTTTAAATTGAGAACTTGTCCGTTAATTAAATGGAAGAGAGTTGTGACTGCTTTGTCCTAATGTTGTCTTAATTGCAGAAACCATGAAGTTCTGGAAAGAAACTTCAAAATCAGCCACAATCTGAAATAAAACATTATATGAATGATAATTAGACACAAACATTAAAAAGTTACTAACATTTTAAAATCTCACAATTATATTTCTTCATGCTAAAAATACACTATACTCTAACCATTATTGCTAGCATGTCTTCACTTCATTCTAAACATGGAATCCATTAGTCTAATAATGAAATGATTAAAAATATACTGTCTTATCCCAATAGGATGCCCAGGCAAGGAAATCAACTCCACAGAAAGGCATGAAAGTACTCTTATTATTAAGATTGATTATAAAACAGAATTTTGCAAATCTGATTGTACCTTATCTTTCTTCTTCTACTCCAGTGAATTAAAGAAACATCTGCCTAAGTCACTACCAAATATTATCTTGATACTCAGGACTTCAAAAATGTTTCAAGCCCTTTTGTTTAAGTAAGAGTTTTGCATAGCAAAGTCAACCACCTTACTCTCTGCAATATAGTTACAGGTTTTCCACAGTGTTGTCATTCACGTTAACTTTTGAAGAATTGCTAAATAGAAAAGAAGACTCCCCTTTCAGATTCTGCCTATCATTTTTATCGAATTTGGTGACTTCATACCACCATTTATTTTCACTATTAATTCCTATGTACCATTTGTCTCCTACATGTCTTATCAGCGACATGTGAAACCTTGCCTCACTCAATTCTCCTGAACAATGTGTATATTTTCCCTACCAAAGATCTCTGTTGACATTTTGGACTTGTCAGCAACTAGAGGTGTGCAAAAACCACTCATCCTGTTTCAGCAACCTGGAGGTCTGGAAACACCAGATAGCTTATTCTAGATCACCCTGTGCTAATCATACTGTATATGTTGCCCAAATGTAGAAGAGATTTTGGTTAAAAGACTGTTGTTTTTTTTATTGATTTATGTGCATAAACTTCAACTTTTACATTTTTATTTTTCAACAAAATGGGATTAAAACCTGGCCCTAGGGCAATGTATGAGAACAACGTAGGGCAATTCTAACTGAAAGTAGAGGTTTTGGATCTTTCTAGGCATCTTGAAAACTAGGTATCCTGCGGAAAACAGAAGTTCTGACACTGATTCATAGAAGTTGGGGGATAAGAGCCTCTCACTGAGGAAGAATGAGACATCTTGAGAAGAAAAGGTGCTGGTGCTTGTTTCAGCAAAGAATCTGTTAAGTGATTGAATCTTTTTTAAGGGATTACAGTGGCTCATCTTGAGAAAAACAAACATTGATACAAAATGGTGAGGAAAAAAGTATCAGGAGGATACCAGATGGTATTTATTCTTATTTATGGAATACTACTTGTTCTCTAGGTATGATAGCTAATCTATTTTGGTTCAACAGATCTAGCACAGCTGTTTTGTAGACTTTTCCCCACTAGAGGATTAAAGAAAAATGCTTAGTTTGAGTACTGCATACTGTCATCATTTTTCTGGTTCTCTAGATCGGAACATCTGAGTAAGGAAAACAGGAAAATAGCATGCAAAAGGCTTGGTCTCAGTAAAAGATATTGCTTTCAAATGCTGTGAGGGAACAGACTCTTCTATTCATTGCCAAACAATAGATTAAAAAAACATTGTGGTACAGGAGGTGGCCTGATTGCTGGGATGAGATTAAATGGTCCCCCACATTCTTTTCCATCATGGTGTTTTATATTAATGAATAATGGAAAGATTTTTTTTTTACTGGAGTTTCCTGCAGCGCTGCTCTTTGCAGTCTATCTAGATCAATCGTTAGAGTTAAAATACAGCAAAAGAAAACTGCTTCAAACTCATCCTATCTTTGTATGTGTAAGAAAAGAGCTTCAGTCAAAATAGCATATATCTAAAATCTCTTATCTGTAGGAGATGGTTGCAGATTTATTACATCAAAAAAAACCTCTGTGATTTGAGGTAAGTATTATGGTTCACGAGAAATACTGTAGGAGAAAGACCTGCAATTATTTTAGAAAATGGCAAGCACAGAATTATTCCAACTGCTTGTGTTTGCCCAAGTTCTCCTGATCCAAGTTATGTTTATTGCTTTTTCAGATAGAACTTGCTGCTGGCATCAACAATTTAATGAAAGCTATGGTGAGATTTCTGGCTATACCATAGTTTGTAGCAGTAATAAATAAACAATCAAAGAAAACAAAATCAAAGTTCTCTAGGAATTTTTAAAAATTCTGCTGTGCTGTAATGTTGTCTGACAGACTATAGCCTAATAAAGAAGTTACCTCAATGTTTGAAACATTGCAGAGTACCGTATTTTCCGGCGTATAAGACGACTGGGCGTATAAGACGACCCCCAACTTTTCCTGTTAAAATATAGGGTTTGGGCTATACTCGCCATATAAGACTACCCCTCTTCCAATGGACACCAAATAAAAATTAAAAAACATCAACTGGCTCACCTACAATGTAAAAGCAGCTGTGCTAGACCCAAAATGGCCCCTGCAACAAGCAAGAACCTCACACAGCCACAAAAAGCCCCCCCAAAAAACTTTCACACTCTACACACACACAACACAACTGGCTCACCCACAATGTAAAAGCAGCTGTGCTAGACCCAAAATGGCCCCTGCAACAAGCAGGAACCTCACACAGCCACAAAAAGCCCCCCAAAAAACTTTCACACTCTAACACATACAACACAACACAACTGGCTCACCCACAATGTAAAAGCAGCTGTGCTAGTCCCAAAATGGCCCCTGCAACAAGCAGGAACCTCACACAGCCACAAAAAGCCCCCCAAAAACTTTCACACTCTACACAACACAACACAACTGGCTCACCCACAATGTAAAAGCAGCTGTGCTAGATCCAAAATGGCCCCTGCAATAAGCAGGAACTTCACACAGCCACAAAAAGTCCAAAAAACCAACTTTCACACTTTACACACACAAAATTCCACATACAGCTTTGTGAGATTTTGTGTGTTTGTGTAGTTAGAGTGAACACTACAGAAACACACTAAATCTCAGAAAGCTGCACAAATATTATTTTATTTTATTTTTATTTTTATATGAAAGCTAAATTTAAAACTTCCTAAACTTTAAATGGCTAGGTCTAAAAAAGAACAACTAAAAAAACCCCAATTGATTATTTTTTTTAAAGCTCCCAAAGGGGAAAAAAACTTACCCAATAGAACAGGGGTCTCTAACCTTGGCAACTTTAAGACTTGTAGACTTCAACTCCCAGAATTCCTCAGCCAGCTTTGCTTTGCTGGCTGAGGAATTCTGGGAGTTGAAGTCCACAACTCCCTGCTTGCTTGATTGCTGATTGCTGATGGAATAGATTCAGGCAAGCGAAGCAAGGCAAGCGTTGGGACTAGCAGCTGAGGTAAGCAAGCTGGAGGGGGAAAACTTTTTATCCTTTACATGGCTCTGGCCATCCCAGCTGAGTTCCAGGGAACTCAGCTGGGATCGTCAGAGCTGGGATCGCCAGAGCCATTTAAGGCTCGTCAGAGCCTTTCGGGCTGGTCTGCCTGGTTACAGGAGAACGACACTCGGCGTATAAGACGACCCCCGACTTTTGAGAAGATTTTCATGTGTTAAAAAGTCGTCTTATACGCCGGAAAATACGGTAATTCCAATTCTATGGCAAATACTTCTTGCTTTACAGAATAGGCCGAGACCATTCTGTGGCCAACAAATAACTGAAGACTTATTATGAATGGCTGTTGAATATGCTGTCTTCAGCCAACCATTTAGGAGAAAAATATCATTTTTAAAAATTAGAACTCCATCTTATTTCTTAGATTTAGTTCTAAAAAAAATAAAAAAATGATAAGTGCAATAAAATTCAACCCATACATGTAAAGGTTAAAAGGGGAGATGTGGAAGCAATTAATACCACATATTAATTATACCTTAATATTCTTCCCACTCATTAATATAAATATATGAGATAAAACAATTATGATTCTCCTGGACAGCATAAGATATGAAATCAAACCACATATTTGAGAAATTTTTAGCTATGGACATTCTGGTTGCATTCAACAAAAACACCACTACTTTTTTTTTTTAAAAATGTATTAGTGTTAGACCCTGAAAAAATATTTTTCAAAGCAAATTGTAGACATAAATTAATTCTTTGATTTTTAGTTTTATCAATAACCCAAAATACCCCAGACTAGAAGAAAAATTCAGATATGATCACAACAAGTGAAAATAAGTTCCATTTTCTTCACAACCATTCCAAAAAGCTTTCATGCATGTTATTTTAAAAATAATCATATATCATCTACTGAATAGTTTAAGATAATTTTCTTTAATTTGGGCTGAGGATGACACTGATTTCCACATTTTATTCTACTCTTGAAATGTTTTCTCCCAAGTCATTTTCAAACAAATTAGAGCTGAAGTATTTTTTCTGGGACAATATTATATAATTTAGAGATAACTCTTTCAGGTTAATCTGAATGAGTCAATAACTCTGCTTCAAAGTTTGTCTATGGTCTGTTGCTTAAGTGTTTATTTTTGAATTAAGAAGAAAGGATCTAAACCAGGGTGGATAAAAATCAATGATTTTTTTAAAAAAATCAAAAAAATCAGATTTTTTTATTTAAATCGGATTTTTTTTATTTAAATCAGATTTTTTTGATTTTTATCGAATTTATTTTAATAAAAAACTTTTGGGATAAAAATCTATCGTAAGATAGTTTTCTATTTAAGATACACAAAGAATTTAGTTTATTCAGCATGAAATGGAGCTTAGATATGTAGCATGAGGCTGTATATTCTGCAACACTGGGACTATTGGTGAGTCAACAGTGGGTCAAAGGAGTAGCAGAGATGACAGTTGCTCTTTAAAAATTATGATTTAAATCGAGTTGATTTAAATCAAGCCTTTTTACTAGTGATTTAAATTGTGATTTAAATCAACTCGATTTAAATCAAATCCACCCTGATCTAAAATGTAACTGAAATAGCTGAGTACATTCTGAATTTAACTAATCACTTCTAATTTAATAGATCAAAGTCTTCAGTTTGTATAATTTCTGATTGAACTTGGTTTGTAACATGTAGTAATATACAGAAAATTTAGGACAGCTAAAAACAGAAGGTAACAAAAGGTTGCTACTGTTTTTACCCATTGCATTCAGATTTTAAAATTAGCACACCAAAAAAGATTATAAAAGGCTCAAAATCTTTTAAGAGTGTCTAGTAGGAATTAGCAATTTTGAGTACCTGGTGATATTCTTCAGTGACTTTGATTTCAAGTCAGATTTTGATTTTCACTTCTAATAATCATTTGATTTTTTTTTGTAAGTGGAAAGCTTTATAATAAAAAGATAAATTTGGAATTCCAACTTTACCACTCTGGGGATACTGCAACGTTTGTAAAATGGTCATAAGTCACTTTTTTTCAGTGCCATTGTAACTTTGAATGGTCACTAAATGAACTACTGTAAGTTGAGGACTACTTTACTTTAGTGACCTTTCAAAGTTACAATGACAATGAAAAAAGTGACTTATGAACAATTTTCATAGTTACCTTTGCAGCATCCCCATGATCATATGATCAAAATTCAGATGCTTGGCAACCAGTTCATACTTATGACCATTACTGTATTCCAAAGTCATCATTTAATCACCTTTTGCCATCTTCTGACAAGCAAAGTCAATGGGGAAGCCAGATTCGCTTAACAACTAGGTTACTGACTTGTCAACTGCAGTGATTCACTTAACAACTGTGGCAAGAAAAGTCGTAAAATGGGTCAAAACTCACTTAACAAATGTCTTTCTTAACATAAATTTTGGGTTCAATTTCATTGTAAGTCAAGGAGTGCCTGTAATTAGCTGCAGTATTATATGTACCAACAATTTCATTAATTAATACAAGTGAAATTAAACATGTTTTATTCATTTAGTAAATAAAGTGAAACAATAAAAATCAGGAAAAGTTAGAATGGAAAATCATTGCAAAGAGGGAGCCCTCATTTTTAATAATAGAACAAGAAGTTAAGACTGGTAAAACCAGTATTTGCACAGGTTTAATAAAGTAACAACCAGACTTCTATGTTAATAAATTGCACAAAGGGTGAAAAATATGAAAAAACTGTTTGACCTATATTGATGGTAACAATTTGTGAAAATGTTACTATTATTAAAAAGATGGCATTTCAACTTTGTTTAATCTATTATTTCCTGTATTATTTTGAAAATAACATATAGAAGTTTTGTTTTGCTCCCACTTTCCTCTAGAAGACATGTGAAGTGAAACCTTAAAGCTTTTCCCAATCTGAATTTATTTGCAAAAATGTAATTGGGGAAATGGTTCCCTTGGGTACCCTGTAGCGTCAATAGCAAGTCCTTCCAGTGGGGACGAGTGTTAGAACTGATGGCAGTCTTTCAGTGAGCTTTTAAACAATAACCTTTATGCTAGGATCCTAGAGATATCTGTTTAAAATGTCAATTTTGACATTTAAATAGAAATGGATGAATTTATCATTTTGGTCTGTTCAGTTTCTATTTTCCAAATTATCAATTATCTTTCACCTTTCTACCACAGTTGGGTAAATATAACAAAAGAACAGAAATTTGATTTTAATTACATGTCTAGTGTTGAGATTTTTTTAGTGTTACATGCTTACTTACTTATGATAAGGAAAACATAATTTAAAAGCTCTTTTCTTTTACATGCACTATATTGTGTACAATTTAATTTTCAAACTGCATTTTAAAATAAATGCTGTACTGAGGTTAGTGGCATCAGTCTTTAAAATTTGAATCAAACAAATTTCTCTTCCATGCCTAAATTCAATACATACTCATGCAGCATTGCTGAAATATTCATTAAAACATTTCTATGGCTGCTCTCCTCTTCTTTGAAGCGAATCATTCATATAATATTGTCAGAAAAGGAAAGGGGGCTTCTGGGCACATGATGACAACTGTATCTTTCTTACATCCGCAAGAGTCGTAAAATCCCCCAGGTATACCTATACCAAAATTACTTGTTGCAACATGAGGAGATGTAATTTAAGTCTGTTTAGAAGCTTTTGAGGCACAAATTCGGAGGCTCAGTCTGAAACCGGACGCTGGAAAGTAGTTGTCTAATATATGAGGAGATGGGGCAGGCACAATGTGGGGAATGAATAGCAAAAAATAAATAAATAAATAAAATTAAGACGGATATAGAAGCCAACCTCCTAACATTTCAAAATCTTGAAAGCCAATAAAAATATGAAACTGAGTTAGTCCTTAGTTAGAACACACAACAGGTATGCCCATGGCACAGGCACAGGAAATCATCTAAATGTTTACGCAGTACCTTTGGATCCTGATTTATTTATTAAAATGTTGAGCATTCCACATATTGTAATTGTATAAGATAATAAGTTAAAAACCTATCCATAAAACCAATGAACTGATAAAATACAGTATAATTTTAACCAAAATATATTCTCTCCAACATTCACTTTACCAAGCATACACTATAATCTTAAACCCAGAAGTGAGGCATAGTCAAAAGTAATGGTTATAGACTTTTCAATTCTGCACAGTTTTCTCCAAAAGTATATCCCAAGCTCTTTACAATACAAAAAAATAAGATGTTAGACTTCTTCCTCTTTTAAAGAAAATATATAAATATATCAAGATAATTATCCACATTTTTTAAATATAGCCATTTTTTAAATATTCTGTTTTTAAAATGGCACTCTGTTTGAGGAACCGATTTATAAATCAAACACATACAAATATTAAAAAAAATGTTTTAACATTAGACAGCCTGTGCCTTGTGCATCCTGAGGTTGGGAAAAATGGGATCATTAAGAAAGCAGGATATATATATATAGAAATGTGTACAATTTTAGAATTGGAGAAGACAAGACAATGTCAGAATATTCACAAAAACTTACAGAACAGAATGTAAAAAATCAGCATGTTAGCTAAAATGACATTGCTATCAACCATAAATGCATCAGTGAAAATTTGCATATAAACACAAGAACTGTTGAAAAAAACTTTTGCAATAAATCTTTTATCAGGTAACTTGATTATAAAATTATCAGCTAAAGAATTTTTGTTTAAATATATTTGTATTAGCATAATATATGTCTGGGGCACCCATAATTACTTTGTTACAATAGTTGGTGGTGATAGTATACTGGAAGTAATATCCAGTATAACATCCAAAACACTTGAAACACACTATTTTGTTTGAACAAAATAGTCATTTTCATATAAATACCTGTTGGAATTCTCAGAAAACAGAAATTCAATCAATCCAGATGGAGAATTTTTATACAGGTAGTCCTCGACTTACGGCCACAATTGAGTCCAAAATTTCTGTTGTTAAGGGAGAGATTTGTTAAGTGAGTTTTACCCCATTTTACCACCTTTCTTGCCTCAGTTGTTTAGTGAATCACTGCAGTTGTTAAGTTAGTAACCTGGCTGTTAACTAAACCTAGCTTCCTCATTGATGTTGCTTGTCAAAAGATCACAAAAGGTGATCACATAACCTCGGGATACAGCAACAGTGATAAATATGAACCAAGCAGCTGAATTTTGATCACATGATCATGGGGGTGCTGCAAAGGTGGTAACTGAAAAAACGGTCATAAGTCACTTTTTTCAGTGTTATTGTAACTTTGAATGGTCACTAAACTGTTCTAAGTCAAGAATTACCTGTATTTAAGAGTAACATATAACTTAGTATATATGCTGTTAGAAAAATTAATGCAAGCCAAAAATTTTAAAAAATGAAGTATTTACCTTTTTAAAAATTGAAGTTGGAAATCTATTTTAAGCATGAAGTAGCATTTTTCAGAAACTTGCTTATATATTGAAATTATTTTAAAATGTTTTCACAACTATATTGTGAGATGAAACTAGGTAGTAATGCGTTCTAAGGGCAAATTATGTGTAGAAATATTGCTTATACACAGCAGTCTTGATTAACCATTCTGTATGATCTTAAAAATCAATTGTTCTTCCAGAAAAAGTAAAAAAAAATCAAAAGAAAATTTTTTTTTCCAACAGCAGCTTCATTCTAGAAGGACATCCGATAATTTTGAGAAGGTAACAAATATAGGAAGAATGATTTTGCATTTGTGATCTGAATTTAAAATACAATCACTGTGTGATATCCAAATTTAGATTCCAGATAAGGTAAAGTTACTTCTTCAAATGCAATGCATACATCCCAAAACTCCATGTGCAATTTCCAAAAAACTGGTTCTATACAATCAAAGATTCTTCAGAGAAGTTAAGGGGAAATTGACAATCTTAACAAACAGCAGGAGTGCCCATTTAGTTTCACACTGCTTTGGGATGAGTTTTGACATTGCTTAGTTTACCAACAAGATATCAAAGCCAAGCTTCATGTAAAAGATAAAACTTTTTTTCAATGACTAACACTGGTTTTACTAGGGAACACAGTGCTCTGCTTGAGAAAAATATGTAGCAAGCTGCATAACTGGGCTTTTACTGCTTAAAAAATAGTTTTAACTCAACATGTAATGTGCAGAACACTCACAACGTAGCAATATGAACTACTACTTGACCTATTAGCTTACTGTTTGACCTTGAAATTGTTCCATTTCTAATTCTGATGCATTATCTTGAAAAGCCATTCCCACTTTTTTTCTCCCTTTCCAGCCCTCTTAAAGACAATCCCAAAGCAAATTTATATGATCTGAGCAACATTATTTCACAGTACAAAAAAGATTCTTGTCTCTGGTTACTTCCCATGTCTTTACTTTGGAAGAAGTCCTTACAGAGGCTCTCTGCCTTTTTTCTGGAACACCCATTGCAGCTGCAGTGTTCAAAAATGTTCTTTTTGACTTCCTTGACACTGTCAACTTTTTAATATCAGCTTTTCTTTTCTGAAGATGCTTCTTTATGGTAGTGTTCTTTGAGTGGTGCATGAGAATAGATGATTTAAGAGTACAAGATTTTTTTTTAATCTTTCCTTCTATTTGCTGAGTTGTACTTCTGGGTGGTTGTTTTCTACTGCCTTTCTTAACAAGGTCATGTTTGATAAAAATTAGCTCTGAAGTTTTTTTCGGAAACCCTGATTCTCTACTATTGATTTTTTTCCTCTGCCATGTTTTCTTTGGATTGTCTCTTTCTAAACAATCAGCAGTATGGGACTTCAAGGGACATTTGACTCTTTTCCTCTTAAATGGATTGAATTGAAAGTCACCTTCCTGCTGTGATTCATGCGACTTCAACTGTGAAATAAATAAGTGTTTACAGCATTTCTCTGAACAGTTATAGATCAAGCATTCTGATTTTTCAGATGAAATAGAAGGGTCCTCTGACTTATGATTTGAATTCATATCATTCTTCTTAACAGGGTCAAGCAAGAGAGATGTCGCATGGTTGTCTGGGGAATTGAAGGGCTTTGATATATACTGGATATCAGCTTGTTTCTTCCTGTTTCCATCAAAGTTGAGGTTCCTGAATAGCTGTCGAACATGTGCTGGCTTCTTTGTTTTCCCCCCAGCTATGCATTTGGGAGGTGTTTTTAAAATTCGATTTGTCAGAGGATCATAATACTTAATAGAGGTTTGTTTGTACTTGTACCTTACAGAATCTTTGCTATCTGTAGAATGGTGACTTTTAACTTTGGGAATCTCTTCAGCCTTGTTCCTAAATTGTTTCATCTCTGGACATGAAAGAACATAGACTAGTGTTTGTGGCTGTAAAGGGCTCATGATTTTGGTATAAGATTTAGGAAGCTTAAGAGCACATAACCTAGTTTTCATGGTAGGCGTTTTCTCATTCTCTGACCAAAGAAGGTTGGCCATCTGATCTTGTAGCTGATAGTCCTTCCTAATTATTTTTTGCTTTACTACCGGATACTGTATTAAACTTGTTTGTGTGCCATGGCTAACCTTGACTACTTGGCATCTTGAGGCAAGGCGGCAAATTCTTTTTTTGGGATTCTTCAGGGGCTTTGGAACATGTATTTCTGAAGTTGCAGATAAGTTACTGAAGTCAGGTCCATCACTTAGCCCATCAGTAAATTCTGGAAGCCCTTTAGCGGGCCCAGCCTCTGTTTTGTTAGGTGCAACTGCATTGATCCTCTCATCAGTCTTTTGAGGTTTCTTTCTCAGTGCACGATGAGCCAAGGGCTCAGTATCAAAATGGCAGCGGAAGCGGCCTTCTCTAAAATCCCGCACAAGTGCTTCAATTTTCATATCATCTTCGTACATGATCTGAGACCAGGTTTTTCCTACAAAGGAAGGAGGCACATGAGGCAGAGCTGGAAGAACTGGTTCTTTATTTTGAATTGAAATATCATTCTCTTCTTCTGCTATTTGCTGCACTGAAACATTTTTAAAAATGGAGCTGAGTTGGGTCCCATAATTTTCATCTTGTAGATTTACTTTAACTTCTTTGAGAAGTTCTAGATTTTTAGCAGCTAACTTGGAAAGATTTGCTTGTGAATCAACAGCTGCATCACAATCAAAACTCATATCTGAACCATGCAGACTACTGTAATCCAAAAGTGACAGAATATTTACACAGGAATTTGTATCTTCTCCTCTGCAAGGCAACTCTTTGGGAGGAGGTTCATAACAGTATTTCAAAATGACTTGTTCAATTATTTCATTTATAGAACTTTCAGCACTTTTACACAAATGTTCTTTTTGTCTTGGTAATTGGGGAGCTGCTTGAAAATTCAGGGAATTGCTGGTGCCCACAGGTTTTCTAGCATTCCTGAGACAGAGATTAATCTGAGTTTCATCCTGAGATTCTAAGTCATCTTGTTTTAAAAAAAGTTGACCTGAGATTAAAGAGTTGCCTTTATTATAGACAGGACTCTCATGAAAGTGTGAAACAGTTTTTGACAGGACTGGCTGTAAAACAAGATTTTTCTTTGAATTAAAAAATCCATCTTGGTTGCATATATCTTGGGTAGCTTCTTCACATATGTCATCTGCTTTTACTGGATAGCTAATATTTTTTGCAAGTCTATGAGGAGTGGATGGTATCTGGATAGCAGGTAATGGATCGGGTAAAACATCCCTAGCTGTAAATGAGACTTTTTGACTACTATTTTCGGTCAAAAAGTTTGTTGGACCAAGATTATTTATATTACTGGCAATATCCAGATTTTGTTGTGACGCTCCTAGTTTGGGATGTTGTCCCCTTCCCAGAGTCTGGATAGGTAGACATTCTACAGAAGCCTTCTTCTGCTTTTCGTGGCTCTGGGAAATAAGGCAGCCTGATTCAGCAGTGAATCCACTCTCAATGTTTGGATTTTCCACCCTGCTTGTCTGTCTCTCCTTCTCTTTGACTTCCATTGAAACAGCAGCCCCATCTTTTGCAAGAAGCTGGGAGTTGAATGGCATGTCATCGTAAGTTGGTCTAGGGAAAGGGAAAAAATACACATCAATATTATAAATTATTGAACATTAAAGCAGAATGCACAACTAAGAGATGAAAAGCCAGGAGAGTTAATAAAACTTTAATGGTCCTATTACAGTAGTATAACTAGCAGTACAGCTGCAAACCAAACTGGCTTATAAACCACTCAGGAACATACAAGTTTGAGCTCTGAATTTCATGGATTCATATATTGTTTAAATCCCACTACTATATAATGGTGAGGCATGATAGGGAACTTTCAACATTCTCCATCATTGGGGAGATGGCACCATGATCTCCATAATTATTTTTTGTGTCAAATTTTTCTGTCACAATAGTTAATATGTTCTGAGATACAAAAATCATGGTTCCTCTCTGGGTCCACATAAGACACCCATAAACTAACCAGATTAGTTGAAATGGCATGACACAGAAATCTGCAAATTAATCAATTAGAATATATATAAATCTATTATAGCTGCATAAAAAACAAAAGAAAACAATCCCTCCAATCTCACTTGCATTTGTGTACAAAAATGTTTTTCAACTCATGACCTGCCTTTTCTGTTAACTAAATCTTGTCATTTCTGTCAATAGTCATTCCACTACAGGATACCATGGGATTTTAATTTTTAAAATCCTTAGTAAATCAATTCTGCTGCTGCACTTCTACTCTTCAATGGTAATATAGTCCTTGTCCTATGATCATTCGTTTAGTCACCAAAGTTATGACAGTGATGAAAAAATAGATTTATGATATGTCCTTGGAGGTCTGGCAGTTCCAGCAGTCCCCCACCCCACCCCATGTGATTATTGGTACTGGGACACTCGGCAATCCATATGCACTCATGACTGATTGCCAAAGATCGCACAATCACAAGATCATCATTTGCAACCTTTCCTGCCGACTTCCCCGGAAAGTCAAAGCTTGCCCCACCTTGTGCTTGGACTGTGCTGATCACTGACACACCCTCTATGTCTCTTGCCACACTTCCCCTGCACCCTCATGCATCCCTTCACATCCTCCCCAGTCTCTATGCACTCCACTCTCTTGCACCCTCCTAGACCCACACAAAGCCTCTTGTGCAATCCCACATGCCCTTCCTGAGTTGAACAGTGCCACTTGCACAACCCCATGCACCCTCCTTGAGCTTCATGGCCCTTCTCATGTACCTCTAAGCATCCTCCATGCCAGCCACAGCACCTCTCGCGACACTTTTAATGACCCTCCTGACCCATATGGTGCCTCTTGTGCACTTTCTTTGAGCCTCCCAGTGCCTCTCACAGACATCTTTACACCTCAACTTGTGCAGCACCTCTTGTGCACACTCCCCAACCTGTGCAGTGTTTTTAACACACTCCCATGCACCCTCTAACTCCCTTTTGCATCTGATACCTCACCTTTGGTTGTGGAGAGCCAGCAGGAAGTTGCCTCGCTTAGTGAATGTGGGATTTATTTAACAATGGCAACTGGGACTGTAGGGATTGCCATTGCTAAGTGACCTCATTACTTAGCAATGGAAATTCCAGTTCCAGTTGTACTTTAAGTTGTGGACAACCTATATATATATAAATAAATGATTACAATTAAATTTTAAGATTCTAAGAAAAAAATCAATAACATAAAATGTTAAAGATACTGTGAAGAATGTTACTATATGTATACACACACACACACACACACACACACACACATGTTGTCTGTTGAAATCTGATCGATATACTGAATTTAAAAACCCGCTATATAAAACTGCTGCAGTTAGAAATATCTTCCGCACCATCAATATAGCACACCACATACAAGCTCAAAGTTTTTTTAAAAATCCTTCTTTAGTCTCCTAACTTTTATAAATAATATATCAAGTATGTCAACTGAAGAATTAAATAGTGAGAAATAACAAAAGTATCCTCAGAATCAATGCTCAAACAGAATTTTATGAATAGATTTTGAAAGGCAACTTAAAGCTCTGAATCCTCACTTCCCAATTAATATTCCACAAAATGATTTAAGTTCAGTACAAAGTGACTCTAGTCCAGGGGAGGGTTGCAACTTGCCAGTTACGTAATGGTTTGATGGAAACATGACAGAGATGAAGGGGGGGGGGGGAATAAAGGTTAACCTGGGAATCTCACTCACGTCACAGAAGAGAATGCTTCTTCCCCACTCATCTGCCATACCAACCTCTAATAGATGACTCCAGAGCTTAGCTTGGTCATTCAGCAAATGCCTCTCCTACCTTTAGAAAGGACTCATCTCTCCCTCCATATAGCATTCTTCCTCATTTTTTGTAATTTTGCAATAATAGAGGGTGTAGACCTAACCAGGCTTGGAATCAATTTACTTCAGTGATCATAATATTGTTAAATAATACGTCCAATTTATGAGTTGCTGCAAAATAGAAATAGAATTTATAATTTCCTTTGAAGGAAACCCATGAAATTTATATCAGGCTTATTTCTTACTATGACTAGAATCACTTATCAAATGAGTCAGGGTTAGGGCACTCTGCTATATAAAGAAAGGCAACTATTTATCACAATGGCCATTATCTGAATATCATGCTAAGCAGTTCACTTTTAGTGAGATATGAACCAGCTTAGCCTCTTCCTGGAAGACAAAGTCTCCTCCTTTCCTGAAGTTTAGTGCTTTCATTTCGACTTTTGTTAATGGAATTAGGAACTATTATTATACATGGTCACATTAAACAAGCCAGCTTTAGAAATAAAACAGCTTGAAATTACTATAGTTTCATTCCAGTTACCGTAAATAAAAATGGAAGTAAATGGAGGAAGGAAAATTGTGCAAAGCCAGTAGGTTATGCTTATTCATATTGCACCAAAGCTTGGTTGACTATATCTCTACTGTTTTAAAGTCGGGATGTCAATCTATTGTTCACAATTCTTCTAAAAGTTATTATGAAATTTTAATTTTTATATGACCAAGAGGGGGAAAATTATATGGAGGGAATTGTAATAATGTATTTAATTTAACATTTGTCCTGGCACCACTTAGTTTTTGCAATGCAATTGCTAGCACATCTCTTAAGTGAAATCAATTACTGACACATGGCACTCAATACATAACTTCACACCATATACATCTTTTCTGACATTTATATTACTATTAATTTAGAAAATAGTTCATAATATTGATTATATATGACAAACTTCAAATTCAATGATAGTACATTCAGAACCAAGACACTAAATTGCAAAATATGCTACTGTATTAGTTACTATTTAACTATCACATCAGCATTTTATATTTGCAACTGCAAATGTCTTAGTTTATAACTTTATTTTTTAGATCAAATTTTATTCCCTTCTCTTTCTCATGTTTTTCACTTTTTATTTTAGTTTTCATATATTCATGGACTGAAACAGATATGTAAATCTCCTAGGTTTTTCAAATCCCAGTTGGTTTGTTCGCTTGGAGTGAATAGCAAATATTGAAAATATTCCCTCTGAGCCTGTAAGGAATGCACCTACAGTAAAGTGTTGGCTTAGCAACTAAAACATCTCTGATTGAAAGTGTCTAAGTAGTGATTCCTCCAAATTAGAGGAATGGCTTTGCTCTAAACATCAGCACCATGTGATATTCAAATGGTTTCCTGACAAGCTTCAAATTTATTGCAATAGGAATACCCAAAAAGTAATTTTTCATATGGTAGACTTTTTCCCTTAGTCATATATTCCTTCGGAATATTTGAAATGCCATCCATATTTTCAACAGCATCACCAACAAACAATGCTCTTTCTGAATTGCTTTTTAAGAATATGACTGCAGGCTCTGATATATTGATAATATTTTTCATATGACTAACCTAATTTTAAGTACTTTGGATAAGACCTTTTATTAATTGCCCAGTTGTTGCTTAAATTGTTCAAACACAACATTCTTTTCAATCTCATGGGGAAGATCTAATTTATAACCATCTGCTTTCTAATGCAAAACTGAAGCAAAATGGTCATTAGAATAGCAATTTGTAGCTGGCAGGAAGTCACAAGTCTTGGGTAGGTGCTAGGGAGGTGACTGGGCAAGGGAAGGGTGCTGCAGGCACATGCTATAGAGTTCGAGATCCTTGAGATCTCATACTCCACAGCAGGCTCCTTGGGAAAAAAAGCAATTGCAGCAATTTATGGGAGTGATTTTAGACCTTCCCTGCTAGCTTCCCATTGACTTTGTTTGTGGGAAGATGGCAGGAAAGGTCACAATCACATGACCATGGGATGCTGTAACCATTGTAGGAGTGAGCCAGCTGCCAAGTACCTGAATTGTGATCATGTGACCATTGCTGCAATGGGCAGAATTTCAAGAAGTGGTTGTAAGCACCATACTTCTTCAGTGTCATTGGAACTTCAAATAGTTATTGAACAAGCAATTGTAAACCACGGACTATCTATAGTGCCCATCTTAGTTGAGAATTCTGAAGTATTTCCCTCTTAACTCACTGGAGAAATCCACTTGGTAAAGTTAAGTATGATCTGTTATAAAGATCCAAAATTAGGAACATGAAATATATACTATAAAAAAATGCAACCCACGATTGTCAACTCTTAAAAGAACCCTCACTTTTTAAAAACTTGTTAAATATTTAAAGGAAACTAAACTAAACTAAACCCTTTAAAAGCAGTATCTTTTAAACTGCTTTAGGAAATTGCTTAGGAGGTCATATGTTAATCACTCTAGTATTAAAGAGCCCAGATTGCATTGCAGAGTGATGCAGATATCTAATTTATTAGCTAGCTCATTCATACTGTTTTTCAGGTACTTTGGTTCTCAGATTGATCTATAGTTTCATTTATACTGTCTTCTTTCAATAGGTAGATTTCTATGACAATCTCTCCATGCCCTGATTATTCTTTATATGTTTTCCTTTGCCTAAAATTTCTTCCTAAATGTTTCTATGTGGTATATCCTTTGTGCTGAGAAGCTACTACCTAGAGCAACATATGGGCAGAAGACATGATAGGCAAAAGAACAGGAAACTCTCTTTCTGAACAAATCTTCTCTTTCCAATAATTGAACAGTGCATTTATCCTCCCTTCAACCTTCCTTCCCCATATTGTCTGAATTAGCTGGTTCCCTCCCTTGCTTGGCCCAGCTCAACTGCATGAGGAAAAAACAAAAACAATGTTATCTAGATGATGTTTTCACACAAGGGAATTTAGTCAGTAGTTAAATCAGGCAAACTGTCATTTGAACAGGCTGAAGAAGCATTTCATTCCAGTATATGAATTACTATTAATTCATAATAATTAATGTTTATAAGATTATAATTGTAGACTTCCAATGCAAAGATGGCAGGCATTAGTCTGTGTAGTCACCAGGAGTTGAGCACAATTTAATGGTACTTAACTAACATGGCCTGGCCTAAATCTTCCCCCTTTTTAAATGTGGAAATTTTAAATTTTTAAATTTTAAATTCGTCTTTTTATAGGGGTATGGGTAAGGCATTTTAAATTGGGGAGCCATTTTAGATTTAATTCTGTTTTAAACGTATTTTAATTGTTTATATTGTATGTTTTTAACTATGGCTGTGCACCGCCCCGAGTCCTTCGGGAGAGGGGGCGGTATAAAAATCTAATAAATAAATAAATAAATAAATAAATGATGTGTACATGATTTTTTCCAGGAAATTGCTTTATCATCATCAGCGATAGCTTTATTATAATGACATCAGATCCTAGGTTTTCTCCGATTAGGTGTTTAAATGATTCAGCATATATGTGGCTAAAGGTATTAAAAACAGATGTTATAGTTTCTCCCTCCTCATCAAAATAGAAAAAAGGTATTGCTTTGGAGTAATGCATTTGCTGAAAATGAAAGCAAAATTAATGAGCACAAAACTACAACAGGTTCAATTTAGAGTTGTCTCACTTCTTTTACAACTTTTTTTTCAAGTTGCCTCCAGATGCAAATATATTTCAGCTGGCCAACAGGCTGCCAATTTAATACATTTCTACTTTACTATACTGGATTTGTAGTATATCATCCAGGGGTGAAATGCTCCCGGTTCGGTAGAAATCGCCCGATCCGGTAGCGATGGAGGCGGGTGGTTCGGAGAACCGGTAGCAAAAATCCCTGCCTTCCCCCCATGCCCAGCTGAGCCGCGCGATCATCAGAGGCTATTTTTAAAAGCATTTTTTCTACAACCTTTTCGGCAGAAAAAAATGCTTTTAAAAGTAAAAAAAAAAAGCCTCTGATGATCGCGCGGCTCAGGTGGGATCATCAGAGGCTTCTGAAAGCATTTTTTCTACAACCTCTTCGGCTCAGGAGGTTGTAGGGAAAAAATTGCTTTTAAAAACCTCTAACGATCCCAGCTGAGTTGCCTGATCGGCAAAGGCTTTTTTTCTTTTAAAAACATTTTTTCTACAACCCCTTCGGCTGAAGAGGTTGTAAAAAAAAATGCTTTTAAAAGCTTCTGATGATCCCAGCTGAGTTGCCTGATCGTCAGAGGCTTTTAAAAGAAAAAAAGCCTCTGCCATCAGACAACTCAGCTGGGACCGTCAGAGGTTTTTAAAAGCATTTTTTTACAACCTCTTTGCCAAAGAGGTTGTAGAAAAAATGGTTTTAAAAGTTTTTTTAAAAAAAAGTTGGCCACACCCACCCAGTCACATTATCCCCCATCAAGCCATGCCCACTGAACCGGTAGTAACAAATTTTAGATTTCACCACTGTTTTGTATCATCAAATATTCAGATAGTTCAATGCATTGAATGGTTTTACCTGTTGTCGTGGTATCTGTAGGGATGATGTTGCAGAACATCTTGCAGGAAACGCTCCATCAAGCTACTTGTACCCATGCGATTTCTACAGTAACTGACAAAATGTCTGTGCTGGGAACTATATACATGCTGAAGATAAAGAGAAAAGGGAAAGAGAAAAGAGAAAAGTCAAACTATTTACTAAGTCTGCACTTAGTAAATATTAATCTTCTCATCATTCCTATCACCCATCTCCTTCCACTAATGACTGAATGACTGTAACTTTGTTGCTTGTATCCTTACGATTTATACTGACTGTTTCCTAATATGATTTGATTGCTTATTTGTACCCTATGACTATCATTAAGTGTTGTACCTTATGATTCTTGACGAATGTATCTTGTCTTTTTATGTACACTGAGAGTATATGCACCAAGACAAATTCCTTGTGTGTCTAATCATGCTTGGCCAATAAAATTTTATTCTATTCTAAGAGACAAAAATAAATTCCAGTAATTGCAATTACAAAAGATTATAAGAAAAATAATACTTTAAGAGTGATATTATTTGATGTCATGGAACTTAGAAACACTAGGCAAAAACCAACTGCAGCAGATAAACTAAGGACAAGACACCAAAAAAAGCAAAAAAATGAAAATGAAAATGAAAAAAACCCTTTTTATGGGGAAAAAATAGCAGTGGTACCACAGTGTAAAATTTGGTCATTAAAGAAGAGTAAAAAGAATCATTTTTGTATCTCTGGTAATCCTAATCCCAATCCTCTAAGCATTTTTTGCCACATTTCATAGATTTTGCTCTTCAACACTAAACTACATTACAAGCAAGTCAAGTAGATAATTCATCAGGATAACCTCCTAACAACAGCCTTTCCTGTAAGCCATCTTCCAACAAGAATCCCAAGCCCCCCTTGCTTATGGATCCTACTTGTCACTTCTTCAAAGAAAGGGGCATGCAACGATCCATATTTGAAAGGCAAAATGTGAACTGGGCATTTGAGAATTTTCACACACATCTACTGGCAACTGCTTAGTTTAGAACTCACTTGACACTCTCAGGAAAACATGGGTTTGATTCAAGGAAATGCTGATAGATGTCTCATACATGTCAACTCATGCACCAAATCACCATTTTCCCTTCAAATATAGTCTTATAGGAAAGAAAGTGTCTTCTACTGATGAAAGGAGTTGCAAGAGGGTAAGTCCATTTTAGACTGTCATAATAGAAGTGATACAGAAAAAAGAAAATTAAGACTTGTATAAGTGAGGGACATTCTTCTATCATAGCTAATGAACATATTTGGATTTTTTATTTGACTAACTATGCTTTTCTCAAGCCAATAACTTCAACGCCAATAAGTTAAAGATACAAATGTAACCGCAAGTATGGAAGGAGCTTTGCTTTGATTTTTTTAGATCTACTCTAAAAGATGCATTTTTGGGGGATCTCTGAGAATTTTGAAAGCATACTGTGGATGCTGTCACAAAATTACTGTGATTGAAGTGCTTGTGTTCCTACAAACGACTGTCATGATGGAAGTAAACAATCACAAGACAAACATTTAATCTGTTTAATTTTTCATTACTTTCTAGCTCCACCATATGATATTTAACACTTCAGTGAATCTTTGGAAGGGGGTAATGGAAATAACTCAGAACAAAATACTGATCTGCAGCCATTTTTCCCTCTAGAAGTCATTCCCTTTTTGGGAGTGCAGAAGAATTCTAAAAAATAGAGATGGTATGAGGTTGTGCTTTGCAGCATGCATTTTTTTTAAAATTCAAGGATAGAGGAGGGGGAAGAGACCTTGGAGGCTACAAAGGAGATTTCCCTGAGCAGTTTATTTCTATAGGGAAAGCCTTAAAAAAAGGAACTATTAAAACCTTTAGTGAAGTTTCCATATGTCAGAGTTAAATTTTCATTTGAATACCTGTTCCAGATTGCTGTAGGGTGCATGGCAACAGTTGCAGTAACCTTGTCTGTTCTGCATAACAGGTAGTTCAGTCTTTGACAGCTCTAATTCTTGTTTATTTAAACTGAAAAATATAAATTTTGATATAATTAATTTTCAGAGAGAATTATAAAGCATAGTAAATAAAACTAACTGCAGAGGAGGTTCCATTATTCAGAAATATCTACTGTATTAAAGAATAAGGCCTTGTGGGAATTTGTGGCAGCCAGCCCCCTTGGTGATCCCTGGCTAACATGTGCCATACGCTTAAAAAAAAGATGTGATGATGCCATTTTTCAAACGACACTGCATGCAAATTCCATCATATAAAGGTTTGATGAAACGAGGTGTTGCATGCTCAGGTATTAAAAGGTGTTAGTGTACTATTACAACAGTATTTTTGTTACATTTTTCAATAGCCCTACAAAATCAATTAGATCTCACTGAATGTGCTGTAGAAATTGCAGATGTATTTACATTCTTCTCAAATTAGAAGTTTATTTTAATTTCTACTTATTAAAAGTATACTTATTTAGGTATATATTATTTATACCTAATGCAGAAATTAAAATCATCAAAACACTAAAATGAATTAAAAGAAAATGAAAACCAGACAAAATACAAAAAAGATAACATATTTAAATAAATATGTAAATATGCAGAGGAAACTTACTAACACAACATGAGAAGTTTGGAAGTCACTAGCTAAGAGAAGGAACCCCTCTCTTAAACAGAAAACTTGTTAATCAGTTTGTGAAACCTACCATATGAAATATCAACCTGCCACACACACACACACACACACACAAAACTGGGAGTTTCACAGTTTAAATGTGGCCACTGAGAACCTCCCCCCTTCTTAATCATTCTGTTGCCACAGCCTAGAGAAAGGCCTCTACTTCAGAATTTAGTAAAGTTGGTCTGGGGTGATGCAGTCCATAAATTATCCTGAATCTAGTCTTTTTAGACTAGCTTTAAGAATCAAGACTTCCGGTGGCACCGCAGGCGTTGAACACGCTCCTTTGTGAGCGCCAGCCCCGCGATCGCGTAAACCGCTAGAACAGCGCAAATCAGCTGTCTAGCAGCTTGGAAACTTTCTCCCCGGGGAAAGGGGAGGAAGAGAGCAGACGGGTGCAGGTAGAGCTCCCCAAGTGTCCCAGGAACAATTCTGGGGCTTGAAGGGTGAGAGCTCCCTGGAAGCCCGACAGAGCTCCGGATCCGGGACGTTTCTGCTTTAAGCAGAAGACGCCGCAACCACCCCTGCAAACAACGCTTTGAATAAAACATTGGATTTGGAAGCAGGCTGAGCAAACTCAGGAGAGATCAGATTTGCAAGTACTAAACTAACTCCAAATGTGTATTACTTCCTTCTGACTTACTAAGGGAAGAAAGTGAAACCAAGATGGCGATTGAGCTTTAATGTGGCGTGAAAGTGAAAGTTAAAAAGGAAAGTTTCATTTAGCGCTGACAGCTCCTGTCTAAAATTAGAGATCTTTGCTTTGAAAGAAAGAAGATTAAAGGCTAAAAAGACTATAGCAGTGTTTTTAAAAAAAGGATTGATATTATTTAAAGACTGGAAATTTTTGGATCTGGTGGATTTGTTGTTCTGGTTGCTGAATAAATTCAAATTGGAAACTAAAAATGGCTTCAAAACAAATAAAGACTATTGTCCCTAAAAGTGCTGGGAGCTCGCCAGCTCAAACGTCCAAATTGCAATCTCTCTCTGTTCCAACGGAACCACCAATATTAACACTTGAAATGTTGCATGAAGTCCTTAAAACACAAGCCTCTGTTACAGAAAAAAAAATTACTTCGGTGTTTGAGGATAAAATTCGAGATGTTGCTGAGGAGATGGCTCAAATTAAAGAGTTTATTCAAAATCAAAATCAGGAAATTAGAGAAGATATTGTCATGGCAATCCAAGGTCTGGCAGGCCATACTGAAACATTAGATGAAAAAGTGGAAGAAATTAAGCAGTCTAATGAGAATTTGGAAAATAAAATGGGAGAGGTTCAGAATAAGATGGAAAGAGCAGAGGCCGATGTAACAATGATACTATATAGAGATATGGAATTTGCTTTGAGAATAAGAGGCCTCAAGGAAAATAAGCAAGAGAATTTGAGAGAGATTTTTTTCAGAAGCATTTGCACAGATAATGGGAGATCAAAAAGCAAATCTTGAATGGCAAATTGACAAAATTTACCATGTCAATTCATGGGTCGCCAGACAGAAACATCTACCAAGAGACATTGTAGTCTATTTTACAACAAGGAGAATATGTAATGAAATCTTACAAGTCACTTTTAAAAATAAACTTCAAGTGCAGGGGCAGGAGGTTTTAATCCTGAAAGAAATCCCCCCCAAAATGTTGAGAGCCAGAAGGGATTATGCCTTTCTGGTGGAAGAACTGAGAAACCATCCGATACAGTACAGATGGGAGGTTCCAGCTGGACTAGTGGTGAACTATTCAGGAGAAAGATATCGTCTTAACTCAGTGTGGAAGGCAAGAGATTTCTACACCAATGTACTAAAGGCTGGATGCCCACAGTCCCAGAAGCTAGAAGGAAGACAGAAGCAGAGGGGGCAAGAAAGGGGGAGAAGGAAGAATCGTTGGCACAGGCCCAAAGGAGAGCTTTGATTATTCAAGAAGATTTAATACAACTTTCGACTACTGCTCAAGCTTTGGAGGTATTTGAAAAAATAGAAGAACCTAAGGATCAAAGACAGACTCGAGTGGCAGCCAAGCGTCAAGAAGAATTAAGAGTGCAGCAACTCCAGATGATTCAAGAAACTACAAAAACAGAAGCAGTGGGAGGAGCAAGGCCAAAAAGCAAAATGCATGGAGATTTCCAGCAGATGCTCCGAAAGCTTCAGGGTGCCAAGAATGGCAACTAGATTTCTGACTTGGAATGTTAATGGCCTAAATTCACCACAAAAGAGGAGAAAAATATTTCATTATTTGAAACAGTTTAAAAATGATGTAATCTGTCTACAAGAGACTCACATTAGAAGGAAAGATCAAAAATATTTAATAAATGCAAGGTTAGGCATACATTTTGTTGCATCTGCTCCTGAGAAGAAGAATGGTATAGTTATATACCTAAAAAGAGACTTAATTGTTAAATTAATTGAAGCAGATGATCAAGGAAGATTCACAGCAATTGAACTTTTAATAAAAGGGGAAAAATACTTTTAATTGGAGTATATGCACCGAACCAACAACAGGAAAAATTTTACAAGGTTTTACATTCCAAGTTACTACAATGGGATTCTAAATCATGCATCTTATTGGGCAATTGGAATGGAGTTTTGGACACTAAAAAAGATAAGAAAGGGCTCTTGCAAAATATCTCAACGTGTGCCAGATTGCCAAAATCGTTTTTTGAAATGATGGATGATATGGAGTTGAGAGATATCTGGCGAGAGAGGAACTCTGAAGAAAAAGATTTTACCTTTTTTTTTGATAGACATCAATCTTTCTCTAGGATTGATTTCATATTAATTACTAATGATCTCTTTTCTAGGGTAAAGAAGACGAACATCTGCCCAAGAGTTTTAATGGATCATAGTCCAGTTTGGATGGAATTAGAGTATGGAAAAGGATTTAAGATATATATAGATATATTTAGATATATCTAAACATATCTGTTTAGATATGAGGAAAATGTAAAAGAATGTAAAAAATTTATGAAAGAATTTTTCATTATAAATATGCATAAAGGTACATCTATGGAAATGGTTTGGGATGCAAGTAAAGCATATATGAGAAGTATTTTGATATATTTGAATAATAAACATAGACGTAAACAGGGAAAAAAAAGGAAGGACTTAGAAGAGGAAATCAAAAAAAAAGAACAAGCTTTGATATTGAACCCAGCAGACAAGAAAATAAAAGAGGCAATTAATTTACTGCGAGGGCAATTTAATATGCTAATGGCAGATCAGATTGCAACTAATTTGCAATATGCTAAACATAATACTTTTTGCAATGCTAATAAACCAGGGAGATGGTTAGCATATCTGTTAAGGAAAACACAAAAGTCACGGACCATAGAGAAAATATAATATAAAGGTAAAGAGGTTTATCAGCAAAATATGATTAAAAAAGCATTTTTAGAATTTTATATGAGGTTGTATGCTAGTGATAAAATTCAAAATATATAGATACATACTTATAGAAAGAGAATATTCCTACAATTACAAAAGAGCAAAGGGAGGGTTTAAATCAACCAATAACTTCCGAGGAGATTATGTTTGCAATTAAGCAGTTGAAAGTGGGTAAAGCCCCTGGTACAGATGGTTTGACAGCTGCTTATTATAAACACTTGCAGTTAGAAATGGTGGGACCACTTAAAGAATTATTTACTAACATACAATCTGGAGGAGATGTTCCCCCATCCTGGAGGACAGCTTTTATTTCTCTGATTCCAAAGGAGGATCAAGACCACACCCAGCCAAAAAATTATAGGCCTATATCACTCTTAAATACAGATTATAAGATTTTTGCTAAAATACTAGCAAATAGGTTAATGACAGTCATGCAACAAATGATTCATAATGATCAAACTGGTTTTATAAATGGTAGACAAATAAAGAGTAATGTAAGACAAGTTGTTAACCTATTAGAGTATTTGGGGAAGAACAACCAAATCCCTGCGGTGCTAATATTTCTTGATGCGGAGAAAGCATTCGATCGATTGAATTGGCATTTCTTATTGAAAATAATAGAAAAGATGCAACTTGGAGAATATTTCACACAATCTATTAAGGCAATATATCAGAAACAAACAGCGCAAATAATAATTAATGGTAGTTTAACAGATACCTTTAATATAGAAAAAGGAACAAGACAAGGATGTCCCTTGTCTCCATTATTGTTTATTTTGACTTTGGAATTTTTGTTGAGTAAAATACGGGGGTCGGATAAAATAAATGGAATTAAAATTAGGCAGTATGACTACAGACTACGAGCATTTGCTGACGATTTGGTTGTTACTTTAACCCAACCATTACAGTCAGTTGTAGGTTTAATGGATACAATTAATCAATATGGACAAGTATCTGGATTTAAAATAAATGCAGGGAAAATGAAGATAATAACTAAAAACATGACTACAAATCAAAAAGAAGAATTAGAAAGACTAACAGGGTTTGAAATAATTAAAAAAGTTAAGTATTTAGGGGTTTACATTACGACATCAAATGCGAAATTATTTAAGCATAATTATGATCCGTTGTGGCAAAAAATACAGAGATGGAAGATTGGAAAAAATTAAAATTATCTTTGTTGGGAAGAATAGCAGCAGTAAAAATGAATGCTAAGTTTTTATTTCTTTTTCAAATGATACCAATACTTAAAAAAGATGAAAATTTGAAGATATGGCAGAAGGATATTAATAATTTTGTCTGGGCAGGGAAGAGACCGAGAATAAAGCAAAAAATAATGCAGGATATACGTGAAAGAGGAGGTTTCAAAATGTCTAACTTAAAGACTATATTATGAGGCAGCTGCCCTATCAGCAATGAGTGATTGGATGAACTCAACAGAAGAAAGAATATTGAATATTGAGGGATATGATTTGGTTTACGGTTGGCATGCTTATTTATTATATGATAAGAAAGTGGATAAGACTTTTAAAAGTCACATATTAAGGAATGCTTTATTGCATGTCTGGAAAAAGTATCAGTATAAATTAAATGAGAAGTTACCAATGTGGGCAATACCCAGACACGCAATAGAGAATATAAGTGTAGAGCAAAAACAAGATGTGATTACATATAAAGAGCTTCTTAACAAGGAAAGAGGTATACTACAACTAAAATCTTTGAATCAATTAAGAGAAGAAAGGATAATTCAAACATGGTTTCAGTATGGACAGCTGCAAGCTAGATGGAGACAAGATCAGAAAATTGGTATCTTGCAAAATGAGGAGAACTTGGTAAAACAAATTAGAGATCAAAGTCAAATGCATATAAAAAGGTTGTATAATGCATTGGTAGAAATAGATTCAGAAACGGAGTTAGTTAAGGATTGTATGATAAAGTGGACACAAAATATTGAAGAACCAATAATGATGGAAACGTGGGAAAAAATATGGGTTAGAAATGTGAAGTTTACGCAAGCCCAAAATTTAAGAGAGAATTTTTATAAGGAGGGAAGGGGGGGAGGAGGGATGGGAAAAAATTGTTGTAATACCTGATAAAACTTTTTAATAATAAAAAAAAAAGAATCATCACCAATATTTTAAATTGTGCCCATCACTAGTATTTTAAATTGGATAGTACGGTTCCTTTTCCTCAGTGAAGCATTGTGCATTCTTTGTCTTTTGACTAGATCTCTCCTAGCGGTCTTAAATCATCCAGAAAAGACAAATATGCATGCTAATTAGTCTTGTGCTACAAAGAATCTTATTTATATCTTCAAACAGTATAAATGAAACTTTCCCACAAGGAATGGCCAAATAGATTTCATACATGCATTTGTCCATTACAGCAAATGAATCCAAGTTAAAGCAAATGCAACTGATTTTATCCCTAAGGATTTCACAGAAAGGTCACAGTGGACAACTGAGTAATCTGAAATTGATTTTCCTGTAATAGACATTTAAAAGGAGAATACTTCTGCTGTATTACTCTGCAAATGCAGTGATAGTGGCAATTTCTTCACCATACTCAGAACCAAGACATCTAACTTACATTTTAGATTTGACCAACTCTTCTTTCATCATCACTCTAGACTCAGCCCTGCTGTTTTATTGTCCTGAGTTTCCAATAAAAACATCGTACTTTATTATCTTCATAATTATGAAAAGTACAAGAAGTGATTATGACAACTATTCAAATTGTTTGCCTATGCTAGACAATGGTTCACCACTGAAAAGCATCACCTTTAAACAGGTAGAGGAAACTTACTAACACAACCATGAGAAGTTTGGAAGACAAGCACAGCACACTTGCTGTTATAGCTCCTGTTTGACATTCATGATTACAGAAGAATCCATGGGAGGGTGACACATGTAAAACAATGTGTGGGAGGAGTCATCATTTTACCATGTTTTTTTTACCATTCACTAACTTCCAAGTATTTTTGAAGTGGGGGATCAAGACAAAAAGAAAATGGATTATCTAACCTATAATTCAACATCTCCTAGGACACAATCACCAAGGCAGTAGTTCTAAAATGCAACCCAACAAAATTTTATATCAGTGTAATATTGAGTATTCTAGAGAAACAAACTTTAATAAAGGCAAAGTTCCAGAACAATTCATCCTTCATCATAATTCCCCCTTTTCTTATGTTTACAAACAAAAATAATTATATGAATAAAAGCAACCATTCTCCTTTATGCTAATTAGCTCACATGAAACAGATTAAATCAACAACTCCTGTCCTTTCAACTGAGAAAACAAAACAGAAAATGCAACAAAATATTTAGTCTTTTGATCTGCCAGCCACACTGTCCTCTCATAAATACAGGACATAACCAAATTAATAAATAAAATTAATTCATCTATTTGCTATGAAAATGATTTTAAAATCACCATAAACATGATAATCTATCTGGTCAGATTAACCTAAAATGATTTAACATTCCTAATTCTGCTAAATGAAACTTATTTTTATATATTTTTTACTCATAATTCTTTTTATCAAGATTATTGATAAAACAATCTTTGCTGTTATCTGGGGATTGTTGATTCTACATGAAACTAAACTTACCTACTATTGCTGTCCTGCAATAAGGAACCTTCATTAACTTTCCTTTCCATACCTGAATGAAAAAAAATTGAAATAGAACATCAATCTACATTCTTACTTCCCAAGTTTCATTTCAGAACAGTAAAATTTATTTCAACAGATGCTGAAGATCTCATTGTATGTTTCTTTTTGTTGAAGAAGAGGTTTACCTTGTGCTGAACTAGCATTGGCTTCATCAGCTTGCTTATTATGATCAAACATCTGTAAAACAAAACAGTGCAAAACGCTGAACAGACAAAAAAGTTCCTCCAATAAATATTTGCTCAGAAAAAATATATAACTAAGAACAACATTCTGAATTTCATTAAGAGTGCCTCAGTAATACTATAGAATGTTTCCATTTCAGGAATAATCTCATTCTTAAACAAGAGTTTGAGAATGAAAGCACAAAATCTCAGATTTTTTTTTGAAAGGGAAATGTCATCATGTAATGCAGATAACAACTCCAGAACAAACATATAAGTGGATTTTCAAGATAAGGTCCTTTAATGAACATCATTGTTATAATCTCAGGTTGAAACTAAATCACCGGACAGAGTTTTCTGTCTGTTATATAACACTGCTGCTATAGAAGTTGCATTAATTGCTAATTTACACTACCACTGATGATGTTACCTAGTTTGGGTAATGACACGTCTGCATGAAAGCAGCCAAGCTCAGAGAGCACCAAGGACCCCTGATTTCTGCCACCAATAGCCTCCCACCGACCAGTCCGCTCCCACAGAGAGGGTCTCCTCAGGGTGCCATCAGCCAAGTTATGTCGGCTGGCGACACCCAGGGGGAGGGCCTTCTCTGTGGGAGCCCCAGCCCTGTGGAATGAACTGCCCCCGGAAATACGTAAGATCTCCGACCTCCGGGTGTTTCGCTGCGCACTGAAGACCCTGTTGTTCTGCCGGGCCGGGCTATCAACATAATAATTTTAAATTGGGGTATTTTAAATTTCTGGGATTTTAATTTGAGCCTAATCTATTTAATGATTTTAAATTTTAATCGTTGTTTGTTTTGTGTTTTTAAATAGGCTGTACACCGCCCTGAGTCCTTAGGGAGAAGGGCGGTATAGAAATAAAATTATTATTATTATTATTTCAACTCTGAGCTACAAATATTGTCCTTTATTACTAATTTTTTACAGAGTCACAATTGAGAGTGTTTTAACAAACTGCATCACTGTTTGGTTTGATGGCAGCAGTGCCTCAGATAGAAAGTCCATACAAAGAGTGGTATGGACAGCCGAGAAGATTATAGGAAGCTCACTTTCTGCTATTCAGGATACTGCTTATAAGCACCATGGTGGATTTGATTTAAATTATTAATAAAAAAAAAAGGCTTGATTTAAATCAACTCAACTTAAATCATAATTTTTAAAGAGCAACTGTCATCTGTGTCCCGCAGTGGCTTCTCCTCTGACCTGCTGTTGACTCACTACAGTCCCATTCACTTTAATGGGACAGCTGGTGATGTGGCAGTGACACAAGGTGAGGGACGTGGTGGGCAGCAGATGAGTGGATGACCGCTAATAGGCGCTGCCATGATGGATCTGAAATGACAGGTGCTCTTTAAATTAAGGACTCATCCTTGCTGGTAGTTAGAATCTTTAATATTATTATTTGCAAACAAAATGGTTTCCTATATAGAATAGTAAGTTGTCAGGTTAGTAAAACAGCGATATCAGAACCAATTTTAGGTTAATAGGTTAATCACACATAGGTGGAGAACTACTCAAATTCTTTTATTTAATTAAAACAATAACATTATATTACATATTCTTGTATTTGCTTAAACATCAATGTTTAGTAGCTGAAATGTATAAACAAAATATCTTTGAAAAAACAAACAAAAGAACTTAAATTGAATATATCAGCTGGGGCCACATAAAAAAACCTCAAACAGGGTCTTCTGCAGCTCTCTCTTTTTCATCTTCATTCTCTTGTTTGTTCATGATTTGGAAAAGAAAAAGCTTTCCTGCTTTATCAGACTCCAGACGATTTCTCAATTTAGAGTGAACAAGTCCAAAGGAAGAGAATATTCTTTCAATGCCAGTAGAAGAGGCCACTGCGGTTAAAAGTGAAATCATTACTTCAACACTTTCTGAATCCAAGTGCTTAAGTGATTTCCATATTCACTGGTGAAACTTTATTTAAAACCTCATCACCAAACATACTTTCTTGAATGGTTCCCCCTTAGCTCTGCAGTTCATTATAGCTGGTACTAGATATGGATAATTGCTGGATACCCATGTCAGGGCTAACTTCTCTTCTTCAGCACTTAAGGTCTGACCCGGATATTCAGCACTTAAGGTACCGGATATTGACGTTTGCGAGAAAATGAGCTGGAGACAGTGCTTGTTCCATTCGCTTTTTAAAATCTTGTAATTTCTGCTTGTCAGTGTATAGTTCTGTTTTTAAGTACTCACTAATTTCAACAGCATCAGCAATAAAAACAACTATTTTTCTGGATTCTGTTTAGTGTCAGGGTTCCAACAGCTGCCCTAATTAAATCATGAGTCTCACACCAGGTTTCAAAAGAAATCCAGTTATTTATTAGGAGCTTCATGTCCGCAGGGACCAAATGAAGCCAACTCTGACCTCACTTAATTTACGTCCCGGCTCTGACCCTGTTTCCCCCCTTCCCCCAAGGTGTGTCATCAGTCACATTCTCCAACGAAGCAATTTCACAAGTTGTAGAGATCACTCCCCTCTGGCCACTGTGGTTTCCCGTGGAGATGACCTCAGCGTTATCAGTTGGGATGTGCTTTGTTTTGACTGAGATACCAGCTCCTTGATGCAGCTGCAAAGTTTGTTTTCCCATCTCCCTTGCCTATGGCAACTTGAGAGCAGGCCAGGGGTGCTTTGTGAGTGGACATAAAGCTTCAGAAATGGGTTTCAGGATGCTCAGCATATGTTCAACATTTCTCTTAAGGCCAATGTTGAGGATTTTGGCTGTGAAAGTGCCATTTATTTTTTCTCGATTTCGCTCACAAACGGTCATCAAAATAGGCCAGTTTTTTATATATTGTTCAAAACAGTCCACTACAGAGTTCCGTCTAACATCTTGTGGGAGCTTTAGTTTGGTTCCACCCATTATTTTCAGAGCTGATGCTGCAAAATGATTGCTACCGAAGTATTTATCAATTTCAACATTACTCTTTATTTCTGGGACACAGAGGCTAGGAGGTGCATCAAATGAGTGCTACAACCATATGCTATTAGCTTGGTAGTTTCTTCATGTTGTTCTAAATGTATTCTCATTTTGGACACATTTGCAACATTGTCTATGACCAAACTGTGTACTTGACATTTGATTTTTTTTCGCATCTTATGATAACTTTTGCTGCTATGTCTTCTAAGTATGCTGCTGTGTGTGTATTTCCTGAAGTATCGTTTCTGCAAGGAATACATTCCCTTCTTCTGTTGTTATACAACACATACAATAGGATCATTGTGGACATTACTCCACCCATCAAGACTTAGGTTAACAATTTTACCTTTTAGACTTGTTGCACATTGCATAATTTCTTCATCATATACTTTATCCAGCAGTTTCCCTACAACATCTAATCTACTTGGTGGACTGTATCTTGGTCTCAGTGGCTTAATCCTATTAACAAAGAGTGGGTTTTCAAGCAGACGGAAAGAAGAGTTTGTTGCATAAACAAACCGACCAATTTTTTTCATCAATTAACTCTTTTTCTAATCTGCTGGTTTTTATCAGAAACTTATCCATGGTGGTGTTATCCATGGGGGTTGTTCCAGATGGTTTCTTTCTTTTAGGTGATATATTGCGGATATGTGTAAATGATGTGACTGAGAGATAACTCTGAAACTGTAGAACAAGAGGATGACGATTTAGAAAGTGGATAGTTTCCAGAATCTTTTATGTTGATGGTGGTTTCACCTAAACAAAAAAAAGCAATGCTGTTATTTTATTATTTAAACCATGTATGCTTATTGTAAATTTCTCATTGTATTCACACACAGTACAGCCTAAAAGGGAATATTTGCATATTTTAACTCATTATTTCTTTTCTTGGCAACTGTATGCAGTACCATGCAGTGCCATGCAGTAACAATAGCAGATATATATTATTGCTTTAGCATACCAATACCTCATGGCAGCCTAAAAAATATGGTGAAAGAAAGTTTACCAACCTGAAGGTCCTGCCTCTTCAAACATGGTCCTTTCATCACAGTACCTCTCATGATGTTGTTTCATTCAGGCCACCAGGCCTTGCATCTTTGTTGCATTGCTTGCATTTTGCATGTATACCTGCTTTGCCTGCATACCTGTTTTACCCGTAGGAAGAGGAACTGCATTAAAATATTCCCAAACTGGGTCTTTTATGGCCTGCTGCCATTTTGCTCCTCAAGGGAAGAATAAAGCGCTTCAAGCTATGTGCCGAAAGATCACAAGGTTTATAAACTGCTTAGGTTTCACTTTCATTTTTACTGCTTGCCCTTCCTACTCACACTTAAGAGTCTGGTGGTACAGATGCATTTCTCTTCAAACAATCATAGTTTGTAGTGGACATAGATTTGCAAAACAATGCAAATCCATTGCAAAACAATGGGATAAAGGAATATTCCTGAACTTTATTTTATGATTTATCTCATGGTTACTGTGAAATTGTGCGAATTTAACATGCAATGCAGTGCATGTTAACTCAGCTTGCAGAGCTTGGATTCACTGAATGAGTTTACAAAAAATGTAAATATTGCAGAATATACAGCCTCACGCTACATAACTAAGCTCCATTTCATGCTGGATAAACTAAATTATTAATGTATCCTAAATAGAAAACTATCTTTAGATAGATTTTTACTCCAAAAGCATTTTGGTAACATACATTTGATAAAAATTAAAAAAAAATCCAATTTAAATTTTTTAAAATCCAATTAATTTTTTTTAATCGATTTTTATCTATCCTGAGAAGCACCATGTGGTTAGAGCTCAAAGCATTGTTAAAGACCCCACACACCCACTTCACAGTCTTGTTTCTGTTGCTCCCCTCTGGGAGGAGGTTTCTGTTGCTCCCCTCTGGGAGGAGGTTTCGAAATATATCTAGCAGAACTACCAGATTATGTAACAGCTTTGTTCCCAATGCCATCCATCTGATAAACTCGCAAGGTTCATTTTTCTCACCATGTACATATATACATCCAAACTAGACTGTGTTGTTTCTCTGTGTCAGAGAAACCCACCCGGTTTTCGCGCATTTCATCAGCCGAGGTCACAAGGGAGGGGCGGGGGGGGTGGCGGTTGTTAATAAAGAAGATCTTAGGCCGAGGGAGGCCACTGTTCCTCAGACTGCCGGATGTGAGTCCCTCCTTGTGAAGTGGGGTCATGGGGTACAGATGGGCTTGCTGATCACATACCTGGCTCCCTGCCATGTGGCAGCAGCCCTGCCCGAGCTGCTCAACGTTAGAACCACGGTGGCGGTTGATACCCCCAGGCTCATGGTCATGGGGGATTTTAACCTGCCATCCTTCGGTGAGACGTCTGAGGTGGCTCTGGAGTTCATGGCTTCCATGATGGCTATGGACCTGACCCAGTTAGTTCACATGGGGGGAAACACGCTGGACCTGGTTTTTGTCTCTGGTCAGTGGATGAGTGATCTTGAGATAGGGGATATAACGATTGAGCCCTTGTCATGGTCGGATCACTCCCTCCTTCGCTTTGACCTTGGAACCTCCATATCCCGCCACAGGAAGGCAGAACAGATGAGATGGTTCCGCCCCAGGCGCCTGATGGAACCTGATAGGTTCCAGACGGAGCTTGGACCATTCCCTGAGGCTCTGGCTCACGCCTCGACTGAAGACCTAGTGGCCGCCTGGGATAGGGTGGCCGCTGGAGCTTTGGATTGGGTCGTGCCTTTGCGGCCTCTGACCCAGCGCCGGTCTCATCTGGCTCCTTGGTTTACCGAGGAGCTGAGGGAGATGAAGCGCCGGAAAAGACGCCTGGAGAGCAGTTGGAGGGCCAGCCTTTCTGAATCTGACCAAACACTGGTAAGGTCTCATATTGAGACTTACCTAGTGGCGATAAAAACGGCAAAATGTAACTATTTTGCCGCTCTTATTGCATCATCAGATAATCGCCCGGCCGCTCTATTTAGGATGACCCGCTCCCTGCTCCACCAGGGAGTGTGGGAGGACGTCTTGGAGGGTAGAGCCGAGGACTTTCTGCAGTATCTGTATGACAAAATTGCTCAGATTCGGGAAGACTTGGACTCTGACTGGGTAGACTCAGGAGGAATGATGGGGGCAGGTCTTGAGAATGTTATCTGGGAAGAGTTTGACCCTGTGACTCCCGAAGACGTGGACAGGATTCTGGGTAGACTGAGCACAGCCACATGTTTATTGGACCCGTGTCCCTCCTGGTTGATGCTGGCTTCTCAGGAGGTGACACGAGGCTGGCTCCAGGAGATTATAACTGCTTCATTGAGTGAGGGTGACTTTCCCGCCGCCTTGAAAGAGGCGGTGGTGAGGCCTCTCCTCAAGAAGCCTTCCCTGGACCCGGCAGTGTTAGCAAACTATCATCCAGTCTCCAACCTTCGCTTTGTGGTGAAGGTTGTTGAGAGTGTGGTGGCACGACAGCTTCCCCAGTACCTGGATGAAACGGTTTATCTGGATCCGTTCCAGTTGGGCTTCAGGCCTGGGTACAGCATGGAAACGGCATTGGTCGCGTTGGTTGATGATCTCTGGAGGGCTCGGTACAGGGGTTGTTCCTTTGTCCTGGTCCTATTAGATCTCTCAGTGGCTTTTGATACCATCGACCATGGTATCATGCTGCACCGGTTGGAAGAGTTGGGGGTGGGGGGCACCATGCTGCGGTGGTTCTCCTCCTTTCTCTCCGACTGGTCGCAGTCTGTGTTGGCAGGGGGACAGAGGTTGACCCCGAGGCGCCTTATATGTGGGGTGCCACAGGGGTCGGTCCTCTCGCCCATTCTGTTCAACATTTATGTGAAGCCACTGGGCGAGATCATCTGTGGTTTCGGGGTGAAGTACCATCAGTACGCTGATGATACTCAGCTGTACATCTCCACCCCGGACCACTCCAATGATGCCCTTGAAGTGATGTGCCTGGAGGCCGTGCAGATCTGGATGGGGAGAAGCAGACTCAGGCTCAATCCATCCAAGACTGAGTGGCTGTGGTTTCCGGCGTCCCGATGTAGTCAGTTGGTGCCATCACTGACTATTGGGGGCGAGTCATTGGCCCCCACGGAAAGGGCTCGCAACTTGGACGTCCTCCTGGATTCACGGCTATCTTTAGAAGAGCACTTGACGGCTGTGGCCAGGAGGACTTTCTATCAGGTCCGCCTGATACGCCAGTTGCGTCCCTTTCTGGATCGGGACTCCTTATGCATGGTCACTCATGCCCTCGTCACTTCCCACCTGGACTATTGTAATGCTCTCTACATGGGGCTTCCCTTGAGGAGCACCCGGAGGCTCCAGCTGGTTCAGAGTGCGGCCACGCGGGTGGTTATGGGAGTGGCGTGGCGTTCCCATGTGACACCTCTCCTGCGCGAGCTGCACTGGCTCCCAGTGGTCTTCCGGGTGTGCTTCAAGGTTTTGGTTACCACCTTTAGAGCACTCCATGGCTTAGGACCAGGGTACTTACGGGACCGTCTTCTGCCACTAGTAGCCTCTCACTGGCCAGTACGCTCCCATAGAGAGGGACTCCTAAGGGTGCCGTCGGCCAAACAGTGTTGATTGGCGGCCCTCAGGGGGGAGAGCCTTCTCTGTGGGGGCACCTGCTATCTGGAATGAGCTCCCCCCGGAGATACAGAGGATCCCGGATTTACGCACCTTCTGCCGTGCCCTCAAGACCTATTTATTTCAACAGGCTGGCCTGGCCTAACTTCCCTTTTAATTGTAACTTTTAAAATTGGTTTTAAAACATTAGGGGTGTTTTAAATTGTTTTGGGCCAAATTATTTAATGGGTTTTTATATTGTCTTTTAAATTTTGTAGTTTGTGTGTTTTATCTTTCTGGCTGTTCACCGCCCTGAGTCCTTCGGGAGTAGGGCGGTATATAAATCTAATAAAATGAAATGAAATGAAATGTGGATATATGCATAATTTTGTAATTATTTATTTATTTTGTCATATTTATGTAGTGTGTTGGAGATGGTGACCCTTTGAGAGCTGTATACAACAAAATTTCATTTTAACGTATGCCAATTAGTGTACATTCAAAATGACAAAAAAGTTATTCTAAATTTAAGTCTAATTTATTTTCAGTGTAATCTAAGGTGCTGGCTAAACTCTAGGCATTCAATTCAGGTGAATAGAGATTACTTGCCAAAGGCAGTAGCAGAATGGACACAGAATGAGGCATTCTTGGTGCCTGCTCCTCCCCTTTAAGGCAAAAATGGTCCCATCTCCTACAGTCTTCTGGAGAATAGTTTACAGCTGGTTTTACTGGACTGTCTTTTAATGATTAAGCAGGAGAGAAAAATCCATGCCATTATTTTTTTATTACCATTGATGGTTGTACTGTTGATCGTGTTACTACACAATCTCTGGGCAGTTATATATACATATCTTTTGTTTATATGTCTGTCTAGACCAGTGTGTATTTGTTTATTGAGTGGATTTCTAGACCAGTAATGGCTAACCTTTTCCGGACTGAGTGCCCAAAGTGGGCAAAGCAAGGCTTGATTTAGAGAGGCCTTTAGAGGATTTAGGAAATGGAATGGGATCTTTAACCACCCACTTTTTGCCCTTTAAAGGTTAGGGCAAAAAGTGAGGGGTTAAGGTTCTCTTCCCTGAAACTCTCTAAATATAAAATACAGTAAAATAAAATGCCCAAATTTTGGTCCTACCTATTCTAAGGATGCACATTTTACCAGTCCTACTATAACCTTTAATACTGTAGAGCATGGTAGGTGATGGCTGTAAAGAAAGAGGAAACAAGTTACCCAGTTATTATTACAAAACTCAAGTTCAGGATGGGTAGCCTTGAACAAGAGCAGTTCTGCTTGAAGCTTAGGAAACACTTGTATAAACTTGAGAATTTTTCTTCCTACAGTGCAATATATCATGTGAAAATATACTTTGAACCCAAACTTAAAATGATTCATAACACGTATCAGTACTCTTATGTTTTATTGCGAGTCTCTCTATACTCTTAAAATTGGCTTTTAAGGAAAATGTCAACTCTACTGAAGGTTTATGGCACTACTTCAAACAATTGGAGACATGCTAACGTGTATGTTTCACACAAGTCAAAAAATTCATATTTGAAAATTACTTCATCTCTGTTCTCGATGTATTTCTCATGGTTAACTGATTTAGGATTTAACTAAATTATCTCACCACGCAGTAAGTCAAAAGTACCCTGGCTGTTTACATAATAGAGCTACAATTTAGTATAGTATGTTAAGCTAGTGTGTTGTATATAGAAAGATTTTATATAGAAAGCTCCATACAACTTATTTATAGCCTGTTTATCTGATACAATTTCATACATGCTCATTTCTTCATCTGAACCCGAGTGGCTCCTATAAGCATCTACACAGAATAATTAGCATACTGTCATTTAAAACCATACAATGCCAAGATGCCATACAACCATACAATGCCAACAATACCTATGTCCAAGATATGCCACCTTACCCTCTGGAATGAAAGTCAACTGAAAGCACCTCCTTTATGAAAGGGACACAGAAACAAACAGGAAAAAGAAATGGGGTGGAAAGAGGCAGGCTGAAACTCTTCAATATTATACCAATTTCTAGGTAAATAAATCTTGGGCAAATCTTAGGTATAGCTATTTTATATGGCCTATTAAAATATTTAATCTGTTCCGTGCTGAGCAGAAAGGTAGACTCAAAAACATAAATGGCTGCTTCCAACTCTGTGATTCTATGAAAACTGCTCAGGTGAGTTGATTTTAGTATTTGGGTGACATCATGGTTACAGGTTAACCTGGGGACCAACTCTGCCTTATTCAACAGATAATTAGCCATTGCGGCCATTGCGAACACAGCCATATATATTTTTTTTCAAAAGTTGGTGCAACTTCACACAGCAGGCTAAGCCGTGGCCGATCACAACTGGTCAAGCTACCTTTGTCGGGATGGTCACCCAACGCATTTAAGCCAAACTGAGATATAGATCGCATTACAGCTTAGCATAAACCAGGACGTGTCTCGATACAACGTTCATAAGCAGGAGCTGAAGGGAAATTGGGGTAACAAAATGAAGGAACTCCCCCACGCCCGCCCCACGGAGAGTAGCGTCTACGGACTTCAGGGGTTGAACTCTCAGAGCAGACATTACACGGGGGTGGGGGTGTGGGGTGGGGTAAGGGGAGTGAAAGGGTGCGCGCGCGCGCTCCGGAAGCAGCCAAGAAGCCCCGCCCCTAAGCGCGTGCATGGAAGGAAGCGACGACGTCGGGGTAATGTAACCGCTGCTCCTTTCCTTTTCTCTACACCGCCGATTTAAGCGCCCGACCTAAATTGCCTGCCCGCTCTTCTACGTGTGTTTCTTACCTCCATTGCGCTTCCCCCTCCCCCTTCACTGATTCAAAAGTGTCAAAAGAAAAAAAAAGCACAACCGCAACTTCCTCTTCCGGGTTATCAGGAAGACAATCACTCGATATTCCTAGAGCGGCGCAGAAAGAATTTATATACAGTACTATTCCGCGTGTCTGGTGAGGAACGTCAGGCGCGCGCCGCCGTCCGGACGAGTGGTTGGAAACGCCCACAAGACGAGCCTAAGCGGTTATCCTGATAGCCTTTAGGGCAGTGTTTCTCAACCTTGGAAGCTTGAAGATGGGTGGACTTCAACTCCCAGAATCCCCCAGCCAGCGCTGCTGGCTGGGGGATTCTGGGAGTTGAAGTCCACCCATCTTCAAGCTTGTAGGGAGAAAGGAGCAGCGGTGCTTTCTGTGTCCCTAGACACCCGACTTGGTCCGAGAGGACTTGCTTTGGCCACTGTAGAAAGAAGGGTGTGGTTTGCACGGAACAAGCTCGGCCGTGCTTGGATAACCTTTTGGGGTTTACACAGTACAGTAGCTAAACCGTAGTTCACCAAATAAAAATTACAAAACATCCCTTCTTTTCTTTGCCAGGTGTGTGACCTGGTTGGCGTCTCGGCAGGAGACCGTAGAGAAGGGAGCCTCGCACTTTTGGCTCCTCTTAATAGTTCCTGGTTCAATTTGGAGATAGGCCTAGAACGGAGGTCTCAAACTCGATTTCATTAAGGGCTGCATTAAGGTTGTGTTTGACCTGGAGGTGGGGGGCAGCTCGACGTCACTCGTTTCTGGTCTGCCTGTGGTGGCCCAGGCAGAGCTGGAGGGGATCCACTGCCTCCAGCGGAGGAAGGCGAGACCAGGGAGAGCGCCAAACCCTTGTCCTCCAGAGGAGCCTCGCTGTCCCTCTCGGGCCACGCTTAGGACCCGCGGACAGCAGTGCAGGCTGTCCAGAGCCCTAGGAAGGCGAGGGCGAGGGCAAGTGCCCAGCCCAGCCCTTGAGCTCCCAAGGCACCGAGACCCCACAGCCCAGCCCAGTCCTGCTTCCCTGAGGGGGTGCCCACCTGCTCTTACCACCTCCTCGAGGCTGCTGCTGTTCTCGCTCTTCTTGGCCAGATTCCTCATGGTGTGTGCTGGAGGGCAAAATGTGTGGGTCAGAGGGAGGCCCACTCCCTCTCCACGCAAGGAGATCTGGCTTTGTAACCAAAGCATCCTCAGCGATAGGATGGGAGACCACCAGGAGAGGTCAGGAGGAGGGGACAAGGGCAGCAGGTGGCCAAGTGCTAAGGCAGGACTTTCCTCAGAGACCTTCCCTCTTTCTCATTATCCCTCTCTCCCTCCCTTCCCTCTCTTTTCTTTTTCATTCCCTTTTCATTTCCCTTTCTTCTTCCTTCCCCTTTCTCTCTTTTTCTTTCCTTGCTCTCTTCCCATCTTTTCTTTTTCTTTGTCTTTCCTCTTTCCCTTTCTCCTTTCCTGTCCCTTCTTGGATGCACAAATGCAAAAGGGGAAACATTTCTCGATGCCTCCTTCCCTTGTGATCAAATGCCACTTTTGCTAGGCATTAGTTTGTTTTGCTAGCACTCTGCCAGCGAAAACAGACCTCAGGAGGGGCATGAGCGGCCCTCCCGAGCTCCATTTTTGGCTGTGATGACCTCCTACAGCACGCTGCCATCCGCCACCATGTATTTAATTCCTACAATACTTTAATTGTGATCGATTACAGAAAAGCTTTTGACTATGTAGAACCCAATAAGCTATGGGGGGGTTTTGCATGATCTTGGTGTCCCAATTCTGATCAGACTTATCAGTTCACTGTACACTGATCAGGAGACAACAATGAGAACTCTTTATGGTGACACATTGGTTCAGGATCAGTAAGGAAGTTAGACAGGGATGTATCTTATCACCATTTTTGTTCAATCTGTATGTAAATTAATCCAGTGTGAGAAAACATGCAGAGGGAACAGAATGGCTTGCTAAACTCTGAGTGGCACAAGTGTTTGGAAATTGTTTATTTTTCAGCTCTCATGTTAAGGAAGGAAGAAAAATTGAACACATGATGACACCATATGCATTTCTTTTGAGATCACTTGTAATGCCCTTATGACAGTGATGGCTAACTTTTTCTCGTCGTGTGCCAAAAGCACATGCGCATCCCGAAAATCGGCTGGTGGGAGGCGCCTACGCATGCACGGTGGAGCTGAGCTGGGTGACGGCTCGCGTGCCCACAGAAAGGTCTCCATGTGCCAGCTGTGGCACACGTGCCATAGGTTCGCCATCACGGCCTTATGCCTTTGCTAAATCATGGGGGCTGTTTCTGTAAATCATACAATATGCTTTTAAAATTTATCTAGGATTTCAAAAACTGTCTAGACTCTAGAGCAAGGGTGTCAAACTCACAACAACATGTCACATGACATTTTGCAACTTTTTTCCCTTTGCTAAACTGGGTATGGGCATGCCCAGCACATGACGCATCCAGCCCATGGGCCATGAGTTTGACACCTCTGCTCTAGAGGAACTTAATTTCATCTTTTACAGCAAGAATTTACACTGCCTGTAGAATTTTATGGCTAGTACAGAGGCAGAGAATACAATATATATACAGTCCCCATGTTCGGAGGTCTGACTTGCAGACAACTTATACTTGTGAATGTGCTGCTTATTACTAAAAATGGTGGCTGACTTTCTCCTTCCTCAAGCCAACAAACCATTGAAGCTGTGCATTTTTAATATGCAGTCTGTTTTCAGTGGTTCATGAAAATATGTGCTTTCAGTGGTTTGTCACAGTGCTGAAATCCAATTTTTTTGCTACCGATTCTGTGGGTGTGGCTTGTTGGGCGTGGTGTGGCTTGTTGGGCGTGGCTTGTTGGGCGTGGCAGGGGAAGGATACTGCAAAATCACCATTCCCACCCCACTCCAAGGGAAGAATACTGCAAAATCCCCATTCCCTCCCCACTCCTGGGGTAAGGATATTGCAAAATCTCCATTCCCACCCCACTCTGAGGCCAGCCAGAGGTGGCATTTGCTGGTCCTCCAAACTGCTCAAAATTTCCACTACCAGTTCTCTAGAACCTGTCAGAACCTGCTAGATTTCACCCCTGGTTTGTTAACTGAAGGAAGGAAAACATAATCCACCATTTTTAGTAATAGGTAGCCCATTCATAAATTCCAACACATGCAAATTTCAGTTAAAGGCAGACTTGGGGATGGATCTTGATCTTAACATAGGGACTGCCTGTATGTGTTCTGTGTTTGGATAAATAATCATACAAACAGAAAGGCGTCTTTTGCAATGGGCTTACTCTCCTGTGTAGAAGTTATCACAACACTTTACAAGTAAAAGGGAAACTCAAATTCCTCCAAGCAAGATAAAAGCTATGAAAGGACCTTTCCCATATGCAGTCGATAAAGCCAGAATAATATTGATCCTACTACACACCAAAATCAAAGCAAAATTACAGGTGATGTTCCAGTGTAGAGTGATTAAAACATTCAAAAAAATGCCATAGGTCACAAATGCATAAATCTGAAATAGCTAAACAAAGCCATGAAAAGGATGATAAATCCTTTCTATGGATGATCTCCTGTGATTTGCAGGTGCTTGAGTAGTCTTGCTGCTTGTTGCTAGCAGTGGATTTTGTTAGACTCACAGACATCTAGGTTATGTCAAAGTCATTACTGTACATTTAGTATATTGTTGGATAGAGTTATTTTTCTTTAAAAAATAAATTCTCAAATAAATAAACTTTATTGTCATTGTATGTGTATACACAGTATACACATACAACGAAATTCACTTAACACCCAAAGACCAGGTCCAACACACATAATCCCCAAACACACTCCCCACCCACCACAATTACCCACCGCTAAACCACCCAAACATCCACACAACAGACCAAGTAATACTGTCCAACCACTGATGGTGGCCCTTTAGTTCTTGTTGAGTGCAATTATAGCTCTGGGATAAAAACTATTCAGAAAATGTGTGGTCCAAGTTTTAATTGTTCTGTATCTTCTGCCAGAAGGCAACAGTCCAAAATGCCTGTGTTCTTATAGTGCCTAGTATCTGTTTCAATATTTATAAATGATTATTTCACTTACAGTCTTACTGAGGCTGAACATGATCACTCTGAATTCCTACAATCAGTGCATACCAGAAACTGAACTAAATCAAATTTTTATGTTAGAAAAAGCTCTATATCTAGGATGTTATATAAATAAACATGGAATGAGCTAAAAGACAAAGATATAGAAGTTATGTCTGGAATTAACCTCCCCAAATCTGTTGCTGAGCTAAGAAAACATTTAAGCATGGTGCAATACCTTGGATGATTTTGTATTACAATTGGCAGAAGTCCTGCATTCCTTAAATGAAATGTTCAAAACAGACACTATCTGTCACTAAGGACATGAATAAGTTGTTGTCAGGTGTATAAACAATGTTTAACCACATCCTCAGTTCTGGCAGTTTGTGATAATCGCTAGTATATTGTTATGAGTGCTGATGCTGGCAACTGTGTAATAAATGGAGTGTAAGTTCACGGATGAGAATTGAAGGCAATAGCATATTATTCTCAAACAGTCAGATCCAGAAATATGATGTGCCCAAGTTGCAAAAGCATGACTCACATTAATGTAGCCATGTGAATGATTGATGGACTAAAGTTCTTCCAATTTTATGCAAACTTGAGTTGTGCACATTTAAAATGATTTGAAAGAAATGCAGTACTTCTGTATTACTAATGAGACAGCTATGTCTTTTTTCCAAACTTTTCTACTAACTTGGAAAAAGAGGCAGATATGCCTACTGTAATTAATAAGAGAATTGCTGGACACATGAAAGATTCAAAATAATTTTCAAAATGTACATAATCTTCATTCAGACAAGAAGCCATTTGTTTCCCAGAGAATTACAGAGATGGGGTACAGGTATCAGTAATATACCAAACATTTTTCTTCCAGATTATGATTTGTAAGCTCTTACTTCATTCAGCCAAAACATTATTTGAACAGATAAAAGAATAGTAGATGGCCAGGCAAAGAAGGTCAAACAAATCTGGAAAGAGTATACTGAAATTC